TTGGTTGAACGTTGCGAGTGGATTGGCGAACATGATGGTGAAAACATAATTGTTTAATAAAAGCGCTTTCTTCAAAAAATTTCAATTTTAGTTTGCACTTGAAATCGGGCACGAACTTATGCACTCATCCAATAAAAGAAATATTTTATTTTCCTTTTTTTTATTAAATGGTATTGTTAACAAATATCACACGCAGAAATAACAACGTTAACAATGTACAATATATATTAGGTTATTCTGACACCCTGACACACTTATCTAGGCTTATTTGTTACGCTTCCCTTCATGTGGGTCACTTTCATGACAACCATAATGACGTTTAGTCTAATTGTATTAAAACCGAACGGAAAAAAAAAATTACAAATTTAAAATTTGGGAAGCACTCGGTTCGAGCGCTGTCTCCAATATTCGGTAGACTTAATCGCTTAGCATAGTCGATAATTGGTGCAACCATGATTCGCGCTACTGGACGGCAAGGATGGAAGAAGACTCAAATGAGTCCGTCCGCCATGGCGCAACAGTTGGAGCTGTGCGATTCCGCTTTATGGAATATTTTGCGGAGGAATCCTGTTCGTGAGTTTAAGACGTTATATATATATATATGGAAAAACATCAAGACTCAAACTACGAATTGGGGAAGAATGGAGGGACCTATAGTTTATACTGAGCCGCCTCCGAACGGCTGATGCTTTTTTTTTTCTTGTCAAAAATACACAATGTCAACCGCTCACATTCCGTACCGAGGGGCGACGGCAATTTGAGAATTTAACTTAATTTTTTTGGATGTTATTACGACACCAGGACTTGAACCCGAGCCTTCCGAATGATAGTACGCAACACTAACCACTCGCTACCGCGGCCGCCACGCTGTTACATCCTCAAAAAGTCACTGTTTGGTATGTTCTATTGGCAGAGGGAATCATTGGTGTAATATAATGAAGCAAGTCATAATGTTAGAGTCCTTTGACCTTTGATTCCACACATTCAACGACACAATCAATTTATTAAAGAAAGCATTGGATATGTTTTATTACTGACATACGGTCCAAATTTCTGTGAAAACTGTTCGAAAATTGGCCTCTCGGTTGGAGATTATTCGAACCCATCCCGAAATCGTTTCAAATCATAAGGGCTTGACATTCCCCGCGAAGAGGCGACAGCAATTAGAAAACTTAACCTAATTTTTTATTTAAATTAATTTTCTATAATTAAAAAAAAAATCCATAAAAGTTGAAAATTTCGATAAAAGATCAATTATGATAAATTGGATTAGTTTTCGTTGACTGTCGAAATTTTAAGATTCAATTTGAAATTCGTATTGCAGTACACGTAGAAACAGGCAATTATATACAGATAAATTTTTAATAAAAAGACGTTTGGGAAAAATTTATTTTGACCTCAGGTAATTATCAAGGTCTTCCTGCCGCTATTTGTATATACAACAAGAAAGTAGAGCTGCCAACGGTCACGTCGAAGTCTTTATAATTTTTTTGGATTTTATTTTAGGAATAAATAATATTGAATGAATTAATTTATCCGTTTTCGATAATTCTCGGCACCAATTGGCGCTTTTAGATGATTTTTTGGCAAATATTGAGCCAAAAACTCAAATGTGAAAAAACCTTGGCACCCTTTAAATGTGCTATGTCTGTTGAAATATCTGAAAAACTGAGAGATTAGTAAGCGTACTAACAGACGGGCATGGCTTAGTGACTTAATCAATTGAACTCGTCTTGCTGACTCGTTCTTTGAGGTTAGCTGGAAGACTACTCCTCTCTAATGGAAGTAGACTAAGGACCAATCTATTTGAAAAAATTGTATATGGTCCAATTTACATCAAATTAGGTACCTACATGCATTTTTACTTAAGATTAGCAGAAATATCACCCTTATCCCCATGATTTGCGACAGATACCTAGCTATTCGAAAAAGTTTGCTTTTTGTAAAAAGTAGAAAAGGTATATACTTTTTACAAAAATTAATACGATTCAGTCATAGACATAGATCGTAGGTAATTATGTTAGAGTTACAAGCTAGTTTTATACGCTCAACTTAACCTATTCGAATTGTGCGTTTGGCTTACTTAGAGACTTTCATGTTGAAATTTTCGTGAAAGTCTATAAGAAGTGAAGAAGTGACCCGCACATACAAAGAAGTATTGAAATAATTAATAACATAATAAAAAAATTACTATTTTGAATTAAACGAAAAATTGGCAAAATAGAGAAAGCAACAACAATGTGTGGTCAGTTCTACTAGTAATTTGTATAAATATTTAATTTAATAGTCGTAATGTCGCTGAAATTCACCCTAACTATCGAAAATGGGTTTATACAACTTACTACTACTAGATATACAGACTAGTGACTGACATAAATTAAATAGTTAAAACAATTTGTTGAACATATGGGAAGTAAGAATAGAAAGATTCAATAAGAGAGACAAAACGAGATCTGGAGAGTGCGAAATCAAGATATATGCTTCTTGAGATCTCATTAAATTCAGAGAGAGCTCCAACAGAGCGCAAAGTTCTATGAGGAAAAGAAAAGCTGATTTGCTCAAGCTACTGTGGCAGATCACTTATTTATGACCACATAGATGATGTCATAAATAAATGGTAACGACTAGATAGAATCGGGAAGTATGTATAAGAAGGAAGAAGATCGGGTAAATGAAGCGAAGCGAGAACAAAACGCACAAATCTACATCCACGTTGGACGGTTTCAAGTCGGGAGGATGGTATAGAATCAATCTAAATTAGCTACTCCAGCTTTGAGCAAACTAAGAAATTTTATAGAATTTTATATGAGTAATAAATAACTACCATATTGCCGTAAGTAAGCAAAGTTAAAATAAGCTTTAGGAATAATATGCGTGATGTGATTAGCGAAACTAAATCAAGTGATACACTAAGATTCAAAATTTCGTTAACAGAAGAAAGCCAATTATCAAGGAGAGATCTTATGAGCGACGTGAGCTTTTTTGCGCACCTTGAGAAGTAAATGTGAAACCATTTTTTGATAATCAGGTCTAGATTATTCCTAATGATCCAATTAGCTAATGTGTTAAGATCCTCCTGAATAATTAAATCATCAAAAATAAATCAAATGCGTTTGAATTATTATTAAATAGTTTAAAATAAAAATATTTGAAGCAAGCTGCAATGTCATTTATAAAAAGAAAAAACAAGAGAGTATCAAGAATACTCTATGTTGAGTTACCCCAAAAGTGGACTCAAAGGCGCAGGATCTTATATTAACTATTTCAACATAAGAGAATCTAACGGGGAAATAAATAAAAAGATTGAATACTCAGACTTTCGTAATAAATTGCTCTTCGGGAGACTTTGCAAAAATCGGTATACACGATTCAACTTGGTATCCCCTTTTAAAAGCTGCAATGCAATAACGAGAAAGACAGACTAGGTTTGTGACAACAGAACGACGACTAAAAAAGCTATGCTAGTGCGGGCGAAAGAGACCTTTAACAACACAAAAAAAAATTATTTATCCTTGACTAACTTCTCAAGAGGTTTAGGAAAGAAAAAAACATGAAAATTCGAAATAAATATATTTATATAATTGTTCCCATTGATAAACCATGTTCTTTTTTTCAAATATTTTAATTATCTCCGTATCGGTTTCACTTGGCACCGACTATAAATTTAATATTGCATTAACCCCGCCTAGAAAGCATGGAAATCTATAACCGTTAAAATGACGCAGATAGTAAGCCGGTGTCAAATTAGCAATTGTTATACGGTTACACTGCTAGATCTTAATCTGAACTGTTACTAACTGTCAATTAGCTTTTTAATCATTATTAATTTTCACACTAACAATCTTTAGCATGTTTCGAATAATTCAAAGTAAATAACAGTGATAAGCATATTAATGTCAATTTTTGCGTACGAACGTGTTTTTCATCCAATAAGAGGTGTTATTTTGAATAACTGGTATTCCGGTAGATGTCACTTATGAAGCTGTAATTTTTTGGCTCTTGACAAGTAAAAAAATACGCCTTTAGTAAAAATGGAACGATATACCATACAAAAACAAATTATTGAAATTCACTATAAAAATGGTGGAAACTTTAGTTCTTAAAATTAAATAATTTTTCTTTCGTCGCGAATCACCGCTATACTGAATTTGGTGAAAAAATGGAGCTGTTGGGCCAAGTTGACGATGTGAAATATAAAACATGCGCACGTCCCTCAAGAATAACTCTAAGACATTCCCTTCCTCGTCTTAAGGCTTATAAAGTTCTGTAAATACAAGCCAGCCGATCATCAACAAATTGAAAATGATCCGGAATTTCATCGACAAGTCATCTTTTCTAATGACGTCCATCTTCAACTCAATGAACAAAACTATCACTTCTAGGGCTCGAACGATGCAAGATTTATGGTTTGAAAAGCCTCTACATCCTCAACGTTTTACTGTTTGGTGCGCTTTATGGTCCGTCGGGGTATTTGGACTTTAGCAACAGTTACGGTGAATGAATTGCGCTATCGAGAGATGATTAGTGATTTACGACCAGAATTGGATGGTATAGACCACGTTTACTGTCAACAAGTCAGCGCTACGTGTCAAACCAGCAACGAAACCATCGATCTATTGAGGAAAAAATTACCAGACCGTGTTAGCTCTCGAAGAGGTGAACGCAATTTGCAACCGAGATCTTGTGATTTAATACCTTGCGACCTCTTACTGTGGTTCCACGTGAAACATGAGGTACACACCAACAGGCCTGCTTCGATTTAAGCGCTCAAAGATGGAGTCCATAATACATTATGAATCCATATGATGGCGCCCATTTGGCTGATATTATTTTCCATAATTAATGGCACATCTTTCTCTTGAAATAAACGTCCGATAATTTTTTCTTATTGGAAACCCCTGTTTTTGATTTAAATTTTTTTTTTTAGAATTCAACGTTACGTCAATTAATTAATTATTTTATTTGAAGAATTGCATACGTACATATATGTATGTATTTACCTTTTAATTACTTTTGGTATACACGTATGTATATATTTTCACTATTTTATATTTTCTTATTTAAACAGGAGTTGACAACAATTTTGTATTAATTTATTTGTTTTAATTTATGTATATACTTTTATATGTGCATTTTACTTTTCCCAGTTATATATGTATGTATATATGCATACAAATTTTGAAATATATTCACTGGCCATTGTCACACTTTCCTTGTGATTCGTGAGCGCTCCAAGTTTATCGATTTCAATACGCTAACACCGCCCTCCATTTAAAATTTATGGATTAAGTAGAAATTACTTTTTTTTTCGTAGCTAGACTATGTAATTTCAATTATTTTTTTTTTCCTTTTTCTCTTTTTGCATTCGATGGTGCAACTTTTAATAATATTTTTTAATTATTTTTTTTTTCTTATTTTTATATAATATAATAATTTCACGGCAAAATTACACGGAAAATTTTTAATTTTCTTGTAGCAGTAGCAATCTGTTTTGTTTTAATTCCATTGAGCTTTGATTTTTCATATGTATATTATTTTTCAAACTAGATATTAGATATTTTTTTTTTTAATTTTTAAATATCTTTCAATATTTTTCAATATTTCTTTCTGCACGAAAACAATTTTCACCAAATCTCATATACACAACAATCACAATCGTAACTAACGTTTACGTTGCCAACGTTTAAGGTTTTCAGGCTAACAACGAATAACCACCGAATAAAACAACTACGCCAAACCGTTCACTCTCAATCAAGTTAAACTCAAAATAACCAGAAAAAGCAAAAAAAAAAAAAAAAATACAAAACGCCTGCCAACCGAGTAGCACACAACAATAGATTGCCGAAAATAACGAGCGAACACCTTCGAAGAAACAAGTCCATTAACAGCCAGCTACTTGGTGAACTACTCGAACGTGGACGAATAAAACTTTTTACACCTGTCTAAATTTTATCTAGTGGTTAGTACACTAAGTGAACTACAACAACACAACCAAGCGCATGGTTTGTTGTAAGTACGAATTTGCCAGCGCCAACGACAAAACACGAACGCGCACAGCCAAAGGTAAATGGCAAATGCGTAATGATGGTAGACAATATGGTTTTAGCTTGTTAGTCCTCGGGGACACACCGGCATAATGCTCGCTTATCATATGACTCTATGGGTGACTCGTTCGTCGTTACGACTGATATGCTCAACAACGACGAAGCCTTGGTTGTCTAGGCTACGTTAAACCAAAACAATTTACCAAATGTATAGGGTTGTAATTAAAGGTGGAAGTAAAAAATCGAAGCAAATGCCTATTACTGAATGCAATTACTATTTAGTTAAACTCGTGCAAGGGTCAGACATTTTATACGTATAAAGCCAACCACTGATTTTTTGTCTTTGCCTGCATACATAGAAAAGTTGGCACTCAAACTCAAAAAAAAAAACCGGCTTTGCCTTAGTAATTATTATTAGAACGAAAAATATATGTACATACATAAATACTTTACTCAATATTTTTTCATTATCTGCCTATTTTTGGTATTTGTATTTTTCTAGTATTCATTAATTGTAGCCTTTAAGTCCTCAAGTCGACTTTAACCAACGAAAGTACCAAAATGAGTTTATCACGCGCGAGGGAGACTAATAAACTTGATAATTTAAAATCTCTGGATGAAGTTATTTATCCGGAAATCGAACCAGGCATAATTAGTAAACAAATGATTGACAAAGCATATCTGGAAGATGGTAAGCAAGGAGAAGCGGCACGTCTGCATCAAATGGAGCCGGTGGTATATGAACGCATATCCGTGCTGAGACTGGAATTTAAAAGTAAGTGATATTCAACGGTATATAAACTTTGGACCGAAGTATGTAAGTTACCAGTAGGCGTAGAGTTGAATCCATCAAAATTTACAGGAGCTGATAATTTAGCCAGCTGATAATTTAGCCATCTGTCCGTCTGTTTGTACGCAAATTAGTCGCTCAGATTTTGAGATATTTCAACTTTGATTTTTGAGATATCTGATTTTGAGTCATTAAAACTTAAATAAGGCATTTAATGTTCTTAAATTTTGGTACTCTACAAACAGATGTGATTTTTTAGATATGAGAATTCATAATGCAATGGCATGACCGAAGACATCACTTCTTTCTTGTACAAATTTTGATCGCCCCTCTGCGGGAAATGTCAACCCGTCCAAATGTTTATATTAGGTCAAGTAAAAGGTTCGTTCGGTTTTTTATTGATTTTTCAAAATATGTTAACTTTGTGTACATTTGTCCAATTTAAGTCAAATATGCGCCGTTTTGTTCGTAAGCTTGTTTCCAACGAGATGCCAACTTCATTATACCCCTCTCGTAGAAGGCTGCGTCCCTATTGGCAAAAAACTCGGACAGCCAATTTTTACAGGTCTCTCTTGAGGCCAACTTCTCACCGTTAAGTGCGTTCGCCATGGACAGGAAAAGATGGTAATCACTTGGTGCCAGGTCTGGACTATAAGGACCTCCCATTCGAGCTCCTGGAGCTTCTGGCGCGTCACCAAAGAAGTGTATGGCCTGGCGTTGTACTGATGGAACACAATTCGGCCTCTGTTGATCAAAGATGGCCTCTTCTCGATGAGTGCTGCCTTCAAGCGGTCCATTTGAGAGCCGAATTGAGCGTTTGGCCATAGGGGAGCAGCTCGTAGTAGATGATTCCTGGACAATCCGACCAAACACACAGCAAAACCTAGTGCATCTTTGACATCGATATTACCGGAACGGAACCTAACAAACCACTTTTTTGCAGCGATTTCGTTTACAGTATCGGGCCCATAAACTAAATTAATTTTTTCAGCCGCTTTGACTGCATCTTCGCCTTGATCGAAGAAGAATTTTAATAGCGAATTTCCTCTTTGCTGGTGTCCATTTTCGACGAACGCTCACATAAGATCGACGACATCGATTAACTTTTTCTGCTCCATACCGGGGTTATTTAGTGGCTACAACAACCACAAGGGATTCCATTTATTTATTTATTTATTTGAATAAGAAAAAGACAAAGGGGCAGCAAAAACGTTAAGAATAATGTTTATTTGTTTGTTCTTATCTTTGTGTGAATGTGTATGTAGCTCAACACATCCGCATAAAGCCAAGACTTACAGCTGCATATTTTGTAATCGTCATTGATGCTGTGCACATGATGGAACTTCGTTGATCGACAAAGTTTGTACTCTCGAAATGGAACTCCTCAGCGAGCTTCAGGGGGTTAAGCGATGTCAGCGAGCACACATATACGTGATGTTAATGAGCTTTCTGCCCGGGTGTGATGCCAGTCCGCTGTGTCCTGTCATTAGACTTACAATTGTTCTGCGGTTTCTTTCTAAGCCGTGCTGCCATTACACATTATTTTGGCGCTCCAGCATGTCATTAATGTGTTCCATCTCTCCCAGATGCATTTTGCAGCTCCCTCAGAAACTTAATTGTACTAAGTCTTTAATGATTTTGGTATTTCATGTACTGATTCAGTCACCATACAAGGCACTTTTGACAAACTCGTCCACTATTTCGTTCTTCACAATACCCCTGTTAACTGAGACCCAGTAAATATGCAGTTGTATTCTACTACGGCCAACTTATCTACTACTTTGTATTTTCTTCACTTGTGGACGTAGTATTATGTGAGATTGTTCACCTAAGTTCCGTATAGCTTTCAGTGTACACATATTGATATTTTCCATTTGGTCCCTTGCAATCTTTGCTAGCTCCTTCCTTGTTGCAAAGACCTCCGCCTGAAAAATGCAGTGAAGGCTTCCAGCGTTGCTTGAAATCTAGCTCAGGTTCCGGCGTTTACTCCGTCTGCCATTTTTTTCGTGCAACTGTTGAAAGTCCAGCTGACTCTCTGCACGTTCCTGTAGCGCCATCTACACGGTGTGTCCTAAAAATAACCGAACTTTATATTTAAATCATACAACATAAAGCCCCATCTATCGAAAATTTGCAACATTAAAAACATACATTCATCCTCTTTCAAGCGCACCTAACTTCATGGATGTCCGATGACAGGTGTAAAAGTGACAGCCATTTAAATAAAACCAAAAGTGTGTTAATGGTTCAAAAATAAAATGGAACAAAGAGCAAATATAAAATTTTGTGTCAAATTTGAAACAAAAATTAATGAAAAAAGTTTATTGTGATGATTGTATGAGTCGTACGCAAGTTTATACATGGTTTACACGATTAAAAATGGTCGTGAGGATTTAAATGACGAGCCTAGAGCAGGACGTCCAGAAACTAGTAATCGTGCTGAACTGGTGGAAAAAATTCCGTGAAATCATTGGTATCGATGCAAATTTTACTACGATAATGTTGGCTGAGGAATTGAATACGAGTAAAAACACTATTTGGAGAATTTTAACTGAAGATTTGGGGAAAAGAAAGGTCTGTGCGCGATTTGTTCCACATGAATTAAATGACGACCAAAAAATCGCACGAATTTTTAATGAAAAAAGGGATTTCTCTCTTCTACCATCCTCCGTATTCGCCTGATCTATCACCATGTGACTATTTTTTATTTCCAAAACTGAAAACCAAGATGAAGGGAGCATTTTGTGATGATATCCCAGCCATTCAAGCAACCGTAACCGAGGTACTGAAGAACATTTCTATGAATGACATAAAAAAATCTATGCATGCGCTGGTTTATCGTTCCAAACGTTGTGTTGAGTCAAATGGAACCTATTTTGAATAAATAATAACTTTCAACGATAATATAATGTGTTTTTTATTTTATAGCCAAAAAGTTCGGTTATTTTTGTGACACACTGTGTACACTTTGTTAATGTGGCTTGAAATCTACTTTCAAATATTTTTTGAGTTATAGTCGGCGCGAAAAAAAGTTCCTTCACTGCTGCAGTGATTCCGACCTTCTCCGTGGAAAAAATCTAAAAAAAACAATCTCGATAAGATAATATTGACTTACGATAAAAAAATTTAAAATTGACAATATGGTGTTCTAAAAAAAATAGTCGAATTTTACCCAAAATTTTGGTTATTTTTGGCCTGCCAAAATTCGATTTATTTGATTTTTTGATCAGATCAAAAGTCGTTAGGTCATTGTACGGAGGACTATATATAGAACATGTAAAAAAAAATCGATAGTGATCGGATTATTTGTTTTTGAGTAATCACTGCAGCAAATTCGGAAAATGCAGTTTCGAGAAAAAACCGTTTAAATATAAAATGATCGTTTTCACTCGTAGCTAATGAGACTCTCTAGCTGCCGAGCGGCTGCTCTTTAAAATGCTACAACTCAAAAACTATTTGAGTTATCGATTTGATATTTTAATATGTTATTGAAGGTGTGAAGGTGTAATCAACCGAAATATGAATTATCGATTTTTTTGCAATTTCACACTAGGTGTGCCCCTTAATTCAAATAATTTCGCCAAGTAGTAAATATAAAAATATACTATTTACAAAAAAAAAAGTCTTTACAAATGGCTATCAAATTTTGCTTGATACTTTTTATGTTTTATTTTTCAGACATACTCCGCATAGATCATCTGTGGATTTTGCCGAATTTAACAAAACTATCGTTGAATTGCAACAAAATCGAAGCCATTGAACACATTGACATGTTGACTGCGCTGAAGGAACTCGATTTGAGTTTTAATTACATCGAAAAGATTGAAAATATCGAGAAACTTGTTAATCTTGAAGTGCTCTCGCTCTTTAATAATTTAATAGAGAAAATTCAAAATTTAGACACACTAGAAAAGTTAGTAATACTCAGTTTAGGCAACAATAAAATCTCCACCACACATGGGGTAATTATTGAGTGATTTTATTTCATAAATAATTAAAAAAATATATATGTATTATATTATATTATTATATTATAATGATTTTTTTCTCTTTGTTTTGCCTTAGATTGAACGCTTTCGCTTTTTGAAAGATCTGCGTGTACTCAATCTGGAGGGAAATCCCATTGAAAAGAAGGAGAACTTCCAAATGAACTTATATGTAGCAGCCGTGCTTCCCAATGTAAAATACTACGAATATAAAACGATTACCGAAGAGATGCGTCATAAGGGACAGGAGAAGTATTTGTAAGTACCAGTACATTAATTTAATTTTTTACACGAAATTAATGAACAGTACACCTACCTGTCCGCTGAACTGATGGACAGTAACAGCTATTACCAATTTTTATTCGGTTCGATGAGGCAAAAAACCAGTAAAATTTTCACCGAGCGCACTTTAATTTGAAATTTCGAAACGGACTAATTCTTACTGACATTTCTCACCGAACAAAGCTATTGCTTTGAAGCCCCGTTATGAAACGATAACCAGTTGAAGTAAGTATCCGGTGTACAACTTTGCTTCCGCCCTTTTTTTCCAAAATTAAAAGCTTTATTGCGAAAAAGTGCTTACAGATATATTGTATTACTCAAAGTATTGTCTTTCGCTAGCGACAACTTTCTCCCATCTTTCCGGCAATTTTCGGATCCCGGCTCGAAAAAAGAAGTCCTCTTTTGACGCTATCCATGAAGCAATCCATTTTTCCAATTCTTCGAAGGATTGAAAATGTTGATCTGCCAGGCCGTGTGCTATCGAATGGAATAGGTGAAAGTCAGAAGGGGCGACATCTGGGGAATACGACGGGTGGGGCAAGACTTCCCATTTCAGCGTTTCCAGGTACTTTTTGACCACTTTTGCGACGTGAGGCCGAGCATTGTCGTGTTGGAGGATGACTTTGTCATGTCGCTCTTGATATTGTGGCCGCTTTTCCTTTAGCGCGCGACTAAGGCACATCAGTTGCGTTAGGTAGCGATCTCCTGTGATGGTTTCAACGGGTTTTAAGAGCTCGTAGTAAATCACACCGAGCTGATCCCACCAAATACAATTCATAACCTTTGCGCCGTGAATATTCGGTTTTGCCTTCGACGAAGAAGCCTGCCCGGGCTTTCCCCATGATTTTCTGCGTTTAGGATTATCGTATCGAACCCACTTTTCATCACCGGTTAGCATTCGATGCGCTTCAGCTGCATTTTTTTTTTTCGAATGGTAACAGAGAAGTAAATTTTCCCGCAAATGACGAGAATTAGGCACATAAACGGACATTTTCGAGCGTGAATAATACGAAAACAAGAACAACTGTCACTGAAACGGCGATGACAATTCGTTAGGCACTGTCCACACTCACTTTAAAGGCATTATCATCTATGTATTTCAACCAGCCTCAGCCGGTACAGCCACCTATCGGAAAACGGCGGAAGCAAAGTTGTACACCTGATAGAATAAAAAGTGGGTTTGATACAGCCGCTGAACGTTATATTTTCCAACTTGAAGCGAAAGTTGAGGAAACAAAGCTCGAGAATTTCAGTGGAATTTATATAAATATTGAAAATTTAACAATTATTTTTTGAGAAATATATATTGTATTTATATATAAAGATATTGCTGCAACTGCTGAACCGGCTGATAGACGAACTCAGCCTCAATTATTGTGTTATAGATCTTGATGATTTTCCCATAACAGTTTATTATAAGGTGCCTCGGGACGGCTGTTGGATTTTTATGAGGAACTTTTATTTAATTTCAGAAACACTCTTGGAGTGCAGAACATTTTTTTATTTGAATTAATTTTCTACAACTTTTAATGATAGTCGGACCGGAACTATTGTAGAACCCGGAAACTAAAATATTGGATGGGGAACGCACTGCTCGGCTAGTACAGCTTTACATGGAAAGAGTAGAAGGAAAATACTTATTTATTTGAAGCTCTTACTAAGTAGTTTTTGTCGCACAAAAGGCAATCGGAGAAATCAATGCCGGCGGAATGGGTATTAAAATCGTTGTATAAACATCTAAAAGGGTCGAATATTGCCAAGTTGGTTTCGCATAAACTTCAAACATCTCTTCACGACTAAGGCGTGTAGGCAGCAATTTATCACTCTGCATTCGATAGTGTGGATTTCATACAACGGAACCCTATTCAAATTGGGTCTAATATGGTAATATACTCGTATGGGTAATTGAAATCTTTAGTCCATCAATTAAGAAAAGCTTAGACTCCTTTTGCCTTATCGATACAAGAATTTATATTACTTCTAAAATCTAACTTAGGGAAACAGGTTTTACTCCATACACGTATTTGCAGATATTAATATAATATAGATTAATATTGCGAAGGAATATTTAAAAAATATTAAGCCCTTTGGTTGGCTAATTTGACGAAACTCAAGTTACGAGAAAGAAGAATAATCGGAAAACCTAGTGGATCCCACAGAGAGGAATTACATTCATAGTGTGGCCAGACCGTCTACATGCGACCAAGCTGTACTACTACACTCCTATTGTGCCTCTAGTGTGAGCAAGCATTGCTGTTCTGGCGCCTTGGTCATTGCTGTTTGAAGATCCTGTAGTTTTTCAGCGCCAAGTATACATTACCTTTGCCTTCGGAAAGCCGAACATTTACAGATTACGTGCTCCACTGTTTCTACACATTTCTTGCATTTCCTACATTTGTTGTCCGCAGTCAGACCTATCTAAAACGCATGAAACGCCAAAAGGCTATGCCTTGTACGGTCTCTGCACAGATAGTACAAACTTCGTAAGTTCAGTATACGCTTTTCAGCAGTCCTCAGCTCTTTCCCATAGTCCATTCGCCTGACGAAGTAGTATTACATTTTGTTTCTGCCTCGCTTAATTGAATCGAAATGGCAGGTTCGATGCTGCGTCAGCTGCAAGCTCGTCAGCTATCTCATTATCTGTGTGGCCTTGAATCGCTTCTTTACATAATGAGACCACTGCTGACTTCGGGGCGATGTAAGTTTTTGGAAGCAGGGATACAGTGGATAGGTTGGGAGTAGGGAAGCAACTTTAGATGAACTGTTTGACATTGCCAAAAGCTCCATCTGTACATGAAATACGAAAGACGCTAAGGACTATGTACTTTAAAGTTTGCGAGGTAAGGTGGTTATTTTTAGCATCCTACAAGACCTCCAAGATTATGCGCAACAACAGCAAAGGAAGAAACTTCGTTTTCTGCTTCCGTGGTCTCGAAATCACTGCTGGCTAGCAGTGACACGTATAGGTTGAAGTGCAGGAAGACAGTCATGAATGAGACTTTGAATCATCTAACTGCACTATATAGATAAGGATCTAGTCCACCTATTAGCTATATGCGAGCTACGCTGTTCAGAGAATTGTAAGAAGCTACAAAACTTAATATCAGGACCATAATAAAATTCACAAAAATCATAGCAGCAAAGCCAGTGTAGCCTGACTTAACTTGCAAGGAATGCAAATAGGTGTCCAGTGACGCTTGAGAGACATTCTGCACATACAAAGAGCTAAACAGATCAGAACTGAATCTTATAGACATGAAAGTTGAAGAAGTTCTTGATATTTAATTACAATAACAAATGAAGTGTTGTCCCCTGTTTAATTTTTCCACATTATTCTCCTTGATTGTCGCACTTAGGAAATCAGGAAACTCGACTACATCTAAAAGTCTCACACTACAAACAATCTCTAAAGCTTCGTATAAATGAAACTCTAACACTATAGATCTCCCAACAAACAGGTATTTTTGTGACTGAGTCCGATTCTACAGCTTTGGTGTGATTAACCGACGAAGTCTGTAACACAGGCCCAATCACATAAGAGCAATTGACAGTAAGCTTTATTCTGAAAGCCAGTAAGACCGTTAACTATAACCCAAAGAACCTCAGATATTACTTATTTACTGTACTGGCGCAGACACCGCTTACGCGATTTTGGCCGATTTAACAACATTGCGCTATTCGTTTCTTCTTTTTGCTGTTTGGCGCCAATCCGAAACTCCAAGTACAGCCAAGTCCTTTTCTACCTGGTTTTTCCAACGGAGTGGAGGTCTTCCTCTTCTTCTGCCGGCAGGTACTGCATCGAAAACTTTCAAAGCTGGAGTATTCACTTCCATCCGGACCACATTTAATCGCTGAACTAAATCAATGTCGGCGTATAACTCGTACAGCTCATCGTTCCATCTTCGTCGTTGCCAATGCGCAAAGGACCATAAATCTTACGCAAAACCTTTCTCTCGAAAACTCCTAACGCCGACTCATCAGATGTTGTCATCGTCCATGCTTCCGCACCATATAGCAGGACGGGAACGATGAGGGACTTGTAGACTTTGATTTTCGTTCGTCGGGAGAGGACTTTACTTTTCAACATCCTACTCAGTCCAAAGTAGCAACTGTTGGCAAGAGTGATTCTGCGTTGGATTCCAAGGCTAAAAAAGTGTAAATACCCTTTGAATACTGCTATTCTGAAGCGTATGGTTCAAGTCCTGGTTCCTCCAAGATTCAAAATTATAGAAAAAATAATATTCTTTTACTGTCGCCCCTCGGCAGGGAATCTGAAGCTCTGTAGGTATATTTAGTTACAAACCTCCAATTACATATATGTATATAAAAATGTACATATGTATACATGATACTCTTATGTTCTAATATAATATATGCCTTCTTCTTAGCCGTGAACTACGCGAAATCGAAGCAAATGAAGAGAAAGAGATATTGGCGCGTGCAGCTAAAGCTAAAGAGGAATATGATGAGAAACGCTTAGCTTCGAGTTTCGTAGAATATCTAAATGAACACCAATTGTACGAGTCACTATGGAAGGGTGATGAAGATGGACATGCATTGCTAATGATCGGTCAGCCAGCTACGGATTTGGCCGAAGAATATGACAATGATATCTACGATGTAACACAGGATATATATAAGTACGGTTTGGAACGGTTTGAGGAGCGAGAATTAGAGATCAATGAATTTAAGCAAAACTTGGAAGAAGGACAATTGTGCATACAGCAAATGGGTCAAGATGTTATTGAGGATTTTCTACGTCATAAGGAGCGTGTATTTGAACAAGCGACAGCTGTCTTAAAAGCATTAGAATTACGCACATTACGCGGTGAGGATGAAGAATCTCCAGAGAGCCTGGAGTTGTTGGATCAATTTGAACAAATAACGGTGCAATTTGATGATACAATTAACGAGGTATGGCAACAGCTTATGAGTCAAGAACTGCATTTACACGAAAGCATTGAGGTAAGCGGTAAATAAATACATATATTGAATGCGTAATCTTTTTTTATTCTCGCTTATTTACTTTTAGGAATCCACCGTTAATTTTCAAAGACGCATTCAGGAGATGATGGCGAAATTCGTCGAGCAGGTACAAACATTTTTTGGACAATTGCGAGATATTGCCATACACTTTTCAGAGAATATGACAGAAGTGGCCACGCATTACATAAATACCAAGCTAGCGCTGCAGGATTTCGATGATGTTCCACAAGAACTTCTGCACTGCATGGAAGATCGGGAAGCTATACTCAATTTAATTGCCGGCATGAAGGATACGCATATACAACGTATTGACGAGCGTGAGGATCGGCTAATGGTGCGAAGCAGAGATTTTATTGAAAATATGATTGACGAATTAAACAGGTAAGCAAAATGGAAAAATGGAAAATACTTTAGATTCTCTTCGCTTTTGGCTTAGCATTAACACATTTCAATTACAGCGATGAGTTGGAGCGCAATAGAGCAAAAATTCTTGAAATTAATTCTTTCCTCGAACTCATGGCTGAGTCATTGGCAGCTTTACAAGGCGAGATACGCGAAGAAGTCATAAATGAGGAGGGTTAAAATACTAGGAACTGCTGACTCAAACAAAACAACTTAAACATGTATGTGATTAAATTTTATTTTAAAAATAAATGCTAGTTCTACATACGAATATGTATGAGAAACTAAGTGCCGAGTTTTTTTTAGGAAGATCTCTCTTATCTTTCAACGTCCATGCCTTATTTGAAATTTTAGCTTAGAAGAATATAAATCAATCAATCTATGGTCAATCTATGTTTTAGCCTTTAAAATGCATATATATATATGTGGTTCTTAAAATTGCTTCCGTTTAATTTCCTCCTTAATTTTGCAGGAAGAGAGTTTCATAATCGACTAGCATTGATAAAGAACAGCCTTGATGATTTCTCTGATTTATGACCTACTCTGGCAGACCGAGTGAACGAACTTGGAAAAAAGATAACTAAAAGATTGGGTCATAATGAGTTTGCAAAGAAAAATGCAATTTCTGGCTTTATGATAGTCCGCAATCGTACATCCTAATATCTGATCTTTCCAAGACGAGATGTGCTCATACTTGGAAAGACCAAACACATACCGTGTGACATTATTAAACATAACATCAATTTTACGAACAGACACACTGTCATGTTTGCTGTATACGACATCAGAGTACATGATAACCGGAAGAATAATTTGTATAACAAGTCGGCGTCTGGTAGCAGTGGGTGTATAGATAGCTGACTGCCTAAGATTCCTCAGAATGAGATAGACATTACTAACAATGGAGTTGCATGTAAGATTAGAGTTAGTAATGTATCCTAAGTTATTAATCTTGCTGACTAATTTGTTGTCCTTTAAACTGTCTATGAATAATGGGGACAAAAAATTCATATTTGTCGGTTTTCTAGCATTATTAACTACATTTGCTTCTAAGGAATATTCGACATTCTCCTTACAATGTACACCAAGTCGTTTAATGTTACGCCATAGAACCTTTGTTGAGAGACCAGAATTTAGTTTCTTGTTAAAATAAGCTCGTTATGAGTGTCGTTCTGCTTCGAGCCGATTTAAAGGCATTCCAATTCTCCAACGTGGGCTTTTTTCCATATGGAATGAAGTTTATTTCGTAACTTAATTTATTTCAGAGATTTTGAGGTAAACCATGGACAGGACATAGACTTATTAGTGATTGTACGAATGGGGACACGTCTCTTGAAGGCAGACTTTAAAATTCCCATTAAGAAAACCAGTTTTTCATCGGCAGAGGGATATACCCATGGTCAAATTTAAATACAGTAGTTAAGTCAGAAATTATGAAGTAGTCAAGAAGACTAGGAGCGCAATTCACTGCAAACCGCATAGGAAGATATCGGTTGACCACAGAGAGAGAGAGAGGGAGAGCGAGAGAGGGTGAGAGAGAGAGGGAGAGAGAGAAAGAGAGCAACTGGATAGATTGTCAAGTAAATTATTAGTATAAGAGTCTCGACAAGAAGATTAACATTAAAATCACCACAAACTATAACTGAATCATACTTAACAACATATAAAGAAATTACTTCAAAAAAAGGGTTGACAACATTAATTCGGTGAGGATTATAAACACAAGAAACAACAGTCTGGAATTTTTTCGGCTTACTTCTACAATTAAATATTCAATATCACTATCAGCAGATTATTGCAAAATATTGCAACCCCACCTCCTCTTCTTCCTGGTCTTTCGACTTTCAGAGAATGCGCGAAGAGTACGCGCGCGATCAGCAGGAGAATAAAATTTTATTATTATCATATTCGACTGCTTTGTTCTGAACGAATCACGTATCTGTGGTACCATAAAGTCAATGGATAGACATACTTGATACTCCTAATGTTCTCTCCCTCCGTAAATGGTACGCCAAAAGCAATTGCATCTACCTGAGAACTCTCACCTCTGCTTGACAGCAATTTTATTATTGCTTTCAGTTTCCGCATTTCACATTCTTGTTGTTTCACATCAGCCTCAAGTTTCAAAACGCGCTCAGCATACTCATTGCCCTTCAAAGTTAATGCGTTGACTTCATCACTCAGCTTCTTCACGAGCATCTTTTGCAAGAGAGCGTGTCAAAAAGTGAGTGCATTTCTTCTCGTTGCATTTTCCTTCTCTCCTCCGAATCTCGTACTGCATTTAGTAAAGTTAGGATAGAATTATTACTGCGATCGTCAAGCTTAAGGGCTTGGCGAACGGTGCTGGAATTGCTGGCTAAGGTGCTCATATTTATTTAAAAAGTAAATTGACGAATATAAGCACAAATACACAAAGATATACAAAAAAATCAGCTTCAACGGGCAGACAAACAAACAAATTGTCTCACTGAAACAATACCAAGAATTGTTGTTTAAATTTCCACTGAAACAATATTAAATTATCGAGCGTCCGGTCGGAGAGTTATGGAAGTCGAAAGGCATATAAGGGAAGGCACATTTTATTGTCTTATTTCTTTTTATCCTTTCTCGTTATTATAAACCACTTTTCACTTAATATTATAATTTGCATGAGTGTATAAAAATCAGTTTCAGTTCTGAAATCTCGACTATTATTGTTTCTTCGATTTCTTTTTCAATCCCTCCAAATAAATCCCCATCGCTTTTTGCACAGACGGCTGCATAATAAGTCCTAAAAAGATTTGCAAATCTTTTTCACGTTGTTGTTCAAGTTCTTGTAGTTCTTTAATACGAAATTGTTGCTTGGTCAGTGCACGAGCATATGGATTGACATTTTTGAATGAGGCAATAAACTGTTCACATTTGGCGATAGCTTCTTCTTTTGTATTTACAACATCATCAACAAGTCCAACATGATGAGCTTCGGCTGTAGTGAATAATTTACCTTGTGTGATTGCTTGTTCAGCAACACGCCGAGGAACAACATTTAAAAATGCACTAACAAACCATTTAGGCGCAACAATGCCTATAAGAGTTTCATTTAAGCCAATTGTGAAATTTGGCAGCATAACACGATATTCGCAAGCTGTCGCTATGAGACACCCTCCAGCTGGTGCATGACCCTGAAAAAAAAGATTAGATGTATAATTTGAGTAGGTTAATAAAAAAAAAGCTAGATTTTACTTTATACTGATTGAATTTTTCTAGTTGTTCCTGAAAAGTAGTTCAAATAAATAAAACACACAAGTTGTACGACTTACATTAATGGCAGCTGCTGTTGGTATTTTCGAACCATATAGTTCCATCCACATACTTTGTAATGCTGTCCAAAAGCTTTTAACACGTTCATCTTGCGGTTGGTACATTTCTAGTAAATCTAGACCAGCAGTAAAGACCGAGTTCGAAGACTATAAAACGGAGATTACAGATAAATATGTAAATATCTTTTGCAACATTTTAGATTGTAATAAATACCGAAGTGATTATGAGGCCTTTGCACTTATTGGTTTCCGCATCTTTTAAACAGTTCCGCATCTCAGTCAATAGTTCAAGATTCAAACTATTTACCGGTGGTCGGTTTAGTGTTAGTGTAGCAATACCTGTTTTATCATTTACTTCGAATGCTGTGTACTGTGCACTCGGTGTAGACAAGGATCGAGTAGTTGACAAAGTTCTATTTGGAATAGAAGAAAAGGCAACAGAACGCACTGTACGGATAATATTCATGATCTTGCGTTATTTCTTAACTATTATTCGAATTTCAAGTGGACTTCGATCTTTTCTAGTTGGAAAACAATTCGTGATGTGCGCTACATGAGAACACAAATTATCGATAAGAAGAAAATCGATATACTGAGGACGCTAGTTTCTGAGAACTTTAATTAAAAACAGCTTAAATAAATTTATATCTAAATGTATTAGTTGTTTCAGATATAACACGTCAAGACAAGACTTAAAGAGATACTGAGGACGCTAGTTTCTGAGAACTTTAATTAAAAGCAGTTTAAATAAATTTATATCTAAATGTATGAGTTGTTTCTGATATACACGTCAAGACAAGACTCAAAGAGATTAAAAAATTTTTTTTTTTCCAAAACCCACTTAGGGGAATAGCTGCGCGGTAACAAAAAAATACGAAAACATGAAATGCTTAAATGATTTTTGTGACATAGTTTTTCTCAAACTCTGAAATATACCTAAAGAGGCTTTATATTATTATATAATTCCCCCAATTGATTAGATTTTGTTTCCTTGAAGTAGGTATGGACTTTTGGTATCTCTTAGGAAATATAATATGGTTAGGCCTCTGAGTTATTATTTTAAAAATCTATACTACTTTCTATACAAATCCAACATCCGGTCGGAGGTGCCTTAATATAAACTCCATGTCTTTATTATGTTGGAAAAAAACATGATTATGCTCACAACAACTTCATCCCACTGTGAGGAAAATTCACTAATAGATGGCGCTTTACAATTGAGGTGTCAAACTTATCGTTGACAGCTTAACCACGTCACAATTTGTATTCGTGCCACCGTCGTACCGTCACTTCATTGCTTTCACTTCTTCCAATTGGCTAAAGTTAGCATTGCTGCAAAATATTTGTGTACGTTCAAGTAAAGTAAATAAAAAATAAGACAAAATGGGTTCAGGAAAGCAGCAAAAAGTGCAATCTTCAGGCTTCACTAAGGAGGAGGAATTGTTATTACAGGATTTCAGCCGTAATGTCAGTACCAAGTCTTCAGCATTATTCTACGCCAATGCTTTCATCGTATCTGCGATACCAATTTGTAAGTATGATGACACGTCGCCGGCTCCTTTGCGAGGTGAAACAATTTGTATATTCAAAATTTAATTCTGTTTTAGGGCTCTTTTGGCGTGTACATAACATGGATTTATTGTCAAGTGGTATATTCTTTGTTTTGTTAACTGGTGCTAGTACCTATCTAATGGCTATGGCATATCGCAACATCAAGTTCCAAATTAAACACAAAATTGCCGTCCGCCGTGAAGATGCTGTAACACGCGAAATTAATCGTCAAATTGGTGACGACAAGAAAGTCACACGCAAGGAGAAGGATGAGCGTATTTTGTGGAAGAAGAATGAAGTAGCTGATTACGAAGCTACCACATTCTCGATTTTCTATAATAATTCACTTTTCTTGGCCATCATCATTTTCATCAGCTTTTTCCTTTTGAAAAATTCATCGCCTTTGGTCAACTACATTTTCTCAATTGGCTTGGCCAGTGGTGCTTTGGCGTTGTTTTCCACCAGCACTCAAGCAAATTAAGTTCTTTTTGTACCGCTTAATGCAGATATGAGATTTACCACTTAACTTTTTTTTATTCAAAAAAAAAAAAAAATATTTGTAACAAAATAACAGGCAAATATGTAAGTAAAAGAAGCAATTGGAAGTATTTTAACTTTCAACGTACGCAACATTGTGCATGGAAACTTAACGATAAGTAAGAAAAAACGAATAAAATACGTTATTAGTATACATAAATATTTTATTTGTTTTAAATACGTTTGAAAAAAAAACCCTTTCAGCATGCCTGACTATGATACATACTTCATTCTCCTATAAAATACAACTTTAATTGTCTTGAAATGCTATCTGCTGCATACATTTTCAAACATTTTTGCCAAGGATGTTGTATGTTTAGTACATTCGTATCTGTCTGACCTTCATCACTTGCAGCATCAAGGCTTCTTGAATATTTGCCCATACCATATGGCCAAATTTCGTTTTGTTCATACGAAATCTCGTCGTCTTCCAAAGTCGTAGCAATTTTCTTATGTTCTTCTTCGTCATATATTTGTGTGCTTTGTAGATAAGAAAGACCAAATTCGATCACTTCACCCAGTAAGATAAAGGGATATTCGTAAAAGCTTCGATTTGGATATGTAGTGGTAATATATTTGCCAAAGCATTTACCGAGCAGCACTTCGGGTATATAATGGTTGTAAATACGAAATAATTCCGCAAGACTGTTACGTAGCAAAGAAAACCAATTTTTGGCCAGACGTATGATATCCTGTAGGAGCTGTCCGACCGCTTTTCTATGAATAAATATAACAAGTTAAGTATACATATCTACCAAGTAAAAGTTCAAATTTGACTTACAATTGATATAGCTGATGTTCATGATCACCGGATAAACGTCTTTGAAAAGACACAGATATTTCCTTTATCCCCACAAGTACATGACGTAAACCGAGGAGAAGTGTTAGTTGTGTGTTTTCTATAAAAGTACTATTATACAACTTTATTATTTCTAACTGAATTGTAGCCGTCAATTATATTCACTCACGAATTATTTGAGGAAGCCGATAATGATCTGCTGCCTTCCTTAGTAACTGATGGCAAAAATTGCACTAATGAATCCGCAATAACTTCAATATGTTGCAATAACCACTGCGCATCGTTGCGCAGTGCTTTATAGTCCTCGCTTATGCTCGTAATATTATGATTTTTGGTCAATCCATTAGGAGCAGCTGAGATTGTGGAAACACTAGTAACAGTTATTAACACATATATAAAGATAAAATTATATATCGCCATAGTGAGTTAAATGATCCTGACTGACCACGAAAGTAAGACTAAAATCAACTGCAAAAATTACAAATGCAACGCAGGTCTGTGGAAAGTTGTGAAATAAAGGGAAAATTATACTTTACCTGCGCTCTATGCTTAAAAGACGGTTGGAAAGGACAATAATCCTTCACATAGTACAATACATACATGTATGTGTGTATGTAATGCTATTTCGGAAATATATACAAAATCTTTTCATCTTACATATACATATGTATACATGTATGTCCAATATATATACACATATATATATGTATATACGTACATAAATCCAAATATATATGTATATAGTCGGTTTTCAAAAACATTAACCATGTTCAAGAGTAACCTTATATAATATATATCTACCTTACCAAATACATGTGCACATATTTATTTATCTAAATATCTTCTAAAGTTGATTTTTACATTAACTTCTTTACTTGTTTTTGTGTCCTGTAAAATATTTTTTTTTATATTTAACCTCAATCACTAAATCGGGTTGTTGTTGTCGTAAAAAAAAAACATTTCCCAAATCGGTTTTTGAGGAATTTGCCAGATAAAAAAAACGGGTCGTTGCGGTATGAAGATCACCTTCTGATATCCCTTACGGAGGCTATGCTTTCGGTAGCCCTCCACTTATTTCGTAGTTTAGCGGTTTCGTTAAGACCCGCTTAGGGACAGGTTAATTAATCTAAATCACTGAGGTCACGGGAGGTATAGGAAACGTGCTGTTTCGACGGGATTGGACGTGAGAGGGGGGTTAAATGTGTCGGTTTAAGAGGGCATGAGTGGCTAGTTTCGTGCGGAGACTCTCCACATGCATGGCATGCGTTGGGCATGTTGGGGTCGAGTATAGGAGTTTAACCTGCTAACAATATCCAGACCTAAGTTGCGCTAGCTCACTCGTGTCTCTCAAGGCAGCCCGAGCTCGCTGTCTTGCAATAGGTGGCGATTTTTCTCCGAAAACGCATTTCACATGGAGAAAGTTTTGGAAGGTATTGACTGACTCCTGTTGAATGGCATTTAGTGCTTGTCTATACCCTCTCCTGTGCAGCGGTTGTTGTATATGTTGCGCTGTATTGTTTCATTCTGATGTGCCTACGTAAAGGTTTAGCTTCTATAAGATGCCTATTGGAGTGTTCTCTACGGTACCATCCCAATAGGGATTGCTTGCACAGCAAAGCATTATGCTCCTTAACTCGTAGCATAGATACTTCGCTGCGCAAAGAATACTCCGGCGACACCGGGAGGTTTCCTGTCGCGGCACTGAGGGGAGTATGCTCGGGGCCGGGGCCTAGATCGGTGCTGTATAGTTAACGACCGGCCGGCTAATTGTTTCATAGGTTTTTAGCAAGGTTTCTGTGGCTCAATAAACAAATTGAATCTTTTCAAATTCCTAAACATCCTCTACCTCCTTCCTCCAAACTTCGGCATAACTCTTAACCGAATTTAATTTAGATATAGATATATAAACTAGGAAGTTATCATAAACAGAATGTAAATAGCACCTCAGGGGAAGTATTCCCCTTCCTCTGCTTCCACCGGCGGGTGCTGCATCGAAAAAGGACGAGACTTGATGAGGGACTTGTTGAGTTTGGTTTTCGTTCCTCGGGAGAGGACTTTACTTTTCAAAGTAGCACCTGTTAGCAAGAGTTATTCTGCGCTGGATTTCAAGGCTGACGTTGTTAGTGGTGTTAATACTGGTTCCTAGATACGACCTTGAATTTATGACTGTTAACAGTGACGTGCTGCCTAAGGCGGCTTAAAAATCGACGAAGCGGCGGTGTGTTTTGATCTTCTTTTCACGTGACAATACGCTGAGACCGTAATTGGCGCAGCCTGTGGGCAATCGCTATTCGAATCTCATCACGGCCGGGTAATGGAACGCCTTTTGCATTGTCATCGATTGGAGTTTCTGGTTTCATTTTCACTACTATTCAACAGACTGGAAAAGAGTTCCCTTTATAAATTCAGTATATCAGGGCATCCGTCATTAGATCACCACTTTTTGTCCTACAAGGTATATGATAGTAAACATTAAGTACTGTTAAAAATATATTATATATTTTACATGCAAATATCACAGATTTCATAATAATTATACACTCTCAATGCTGTCAGCAAGCGCTTGGTATTATAAATCATTAAAGCCGGTAGCAAGCTTTTTATTTCTTTATAATTTAATTCTAATCCAGGTGCTTACCGTATTATTTTGAAGGAAATTTAGGAGACTGTCATAGATGAGTGACTAAAGTGGGCAACAACCGCTTGATTGATCGTAGGCTTAAAGAGCTATTAAAAGCACTCGATTCAGACAGAGTGGAGAATAATATACCCGTATATATATACCTTATATATATATATAAGGTTGTCAAATATATCCCTTTCACTTTTTTGCTCTTCATTCAATGCTTTATAAAAAGTGTTACAGTGATCGGAATTTGTTAAAATATGCGCCGTTTTGATCGATGATCTGTTTCCATCTAGACGGCAACTTCATAACACCTTCCTCGTAGAAGCCCCCCTCCTTATTTGCGAAGAATTCGGACAGCCACTTTTCACAAGCCTCTTTTGAGTTCAACTTCACACCACCAATGGCATTCGCCATGGACAGGACAGGTGGTAATCACTTGGCGCTACGTCCGGGCTATATGGTGGATGCGATAAAACCTCCCATCCGAGCTCCCGTAGCTTCTGACGAGTCATCAACGAAGTGTGTGGTCTGGCGTTGTCCTGGTGGAACACTACACCCTTCCTGTTGGCCAATTCTGGACGCTTCTGGTCGATCGCCTGCTTCAAGGGGTCCAGTTGTTCGCAGTAGATGGTAGAATTAAGCATCTTGCCATTTGGGAGCAGCTCATAGTGGATGATTCCCTTCCAATCCCAACAAACACACAGCAAAACCTTCCTGGTCGTCAATCCCGGCTTGGCCACTGTTTGGGACGATTCACCGGCCTTCGACCACGACCGTTTTCGCTTGATATTGTCGTATGTGATCCATTGTTCGTCGCCAGTCACCATCCGCTTCAAGAATGGGTCGAGTTCGTTCCGTTTCAGCCTTTAACGAAGGAAAACTTTAAAATAGCGCGAATTTCGGCGTTAGTGAACTCCATGTTTACACGTCTATAACTGTTGAACGCAATATCCAAACTAATCATGCATAGCGCTGTTTTGTAGGTTATGTCAAGACCTTTCAAATTATGTATAGTGTTGCCAGATACGAGCTCTTTAGCGCTTTGTACATAGCCGCGAAATTCAAAAGACTAAAAAGCGGAAGGGAGATATATGACAACCTAATATATAATGCGCTTTGTAGCAGCTGAAGCGACTTTTGTCCAAGCTCAACCTCCAATTCCACCGAACTTCCCAGAACTTTTAGAGTTCATTTATTATGTCTTTAGTTCTTGCTCCAATAAAAATAGAGAGATGCGACACTAGGTGTGTATTGTGGCTCGGAGCGATCAAAGCGGGGAGCTGGTGGAACGATCGAAGCGAGCATATTATTACACTACCAGTTGTACCCTGAAACGTTTCGCTGTACCAACTACTCATTGAATTTATGAAATATGATAATAATAATTTTATAGTTTTCCTATAAATCAAAGCAAAATGCTCCCTAAATTTCAAGTAAATCGTACCGTAAATTAATTTTTTTTTTTTTTGAATGGGTCTGTCCCTAGTACACTTTCCGGAGAGATGAATAGTTTGTCTTTTTGAATAAGTCAGTCCATTGTCCACTTCCCGGAGAAAAAGTGATGTCTTCCTGTCCACCTATGTACCGAATTTGAGGTAAATCGAACCACAGATAAATTTTTTGAACAGGCCAGTAGTCCCTAGTCCACTTCCCGTGGAGAAGAGTAGTTGTCCTGCTCATCTAAGCAAAAAGTCCCAAGTACACTTTCCGGTGAGATGAATAGTCTGTTTTTTTTTTTAAATACGTCAGTCTTTGGTCGGCTGCCCGGAGCGAATTGGAGTCTTCCTGTCCACCTATGTACCGAATTTGAGGTAAATCGAACCATAAATATGATTTTTTGAACAGGCCAGTAGTCCCTAGTCCACTTCCCGTGGAGAAGAGTAGTTGTCCTGCCCATCTAAGCAAAAAGTCCCTAGTACACTTTCCGGTGAGATGAATAGTCTGGTCTTTTTTTAATACGTCAGTCTTTGGTCGGCTGCCCGGAGCGAATTGGAGTCTTCCTGTCCACCTAAGTACCGAATTTCTAGTAAATCGAACCGTAAATAAGATTTTTTTGAACGTTTCACTCCACTGGTCCTGGTCCACTGAAATTCAAGTAAATCCATAAGTTCACACATTTTCACGCCTTATGTGGCACATGGTAAACATCTGGTCGTTAGTGGATGTAACGGACTCCGTTGATAAGGTTCGGTGTGTTCGAAAGTTGGACTTCACCATACACATAAGATCTTTGCATGCGTGATTGAGTAGACTTAACTGCCTAATGGATTGATAAGAGTACATTTGAATGGCAGTCCTCAGGGGTGTCGGCTCATCGTAGTCAAACATTACCCAGTAAACCATTAATTGCGCTAATTCCGTATTTTTCAAACGAGCATCATTATAGTCATGTTAAAGAACGTCCATGGAATTCCATAGTCGACGCTTGGAGAATTTCCCATTATCACATACATAATCCACTGCGCCGTTTGTTATTTGTGTGACAACACAAATATCTTTTGTTGTTGTTGTTTTTTGAATGAGTTAAATTAAAATATTTGCCTTACATTTGACGTGCTACGGGGAGATTGCAGTAGTGAAGATACAAAAATTCATGAACTTGTGCTGAGCTCAAACAAATAATAACTTTTAACTATTTTTCTTTAGTTTTTTGTTATCTGCATAATAAATATGTCCTCACAGATGTTAAAAACAAAAATAAATTGGTTGAAATTTTTCAGAGAACTTTTGAAAGCCAACTGTTGATCTACGGATTAAGTTATAAATCAATCTTATGGCAAAAGTGAGTGAAATTGTTATAGCCTTGCAGAGAATAGCTAAGCCAGTAGGTGAATATTACAGTGTTTTACTAGTATTTTAAAGGAGAAATCATACCGGTTCAGTAATGGGGATAAATAACAATTTCCACCACTAAGGAACCGAAAATTGATGGGTTCGTTGATTGAAAGGGAGAGCTTAAGGACCTGACCACAATTGGCCGCACATAAGCCATAGAGTATGCTCATTGTGTATACTCTAAGATACCAAAAGTAATACTCCAAGGTGTCGAATATCATACAGCAGCGGCAGGCGCACTGTCAATAAATCTACAAGAATATTGTCTTCACTTATGCTTAGTGCTATTAAAAGTTTAATCTCTCTGCGAGCCACGTTACCGAAATGGACTTCCAATGCAGGACGGAAGTGCACCAGACCATAAGTGTTCATCAAGAAAATATTGTTTTAGAAAACTTTTGAAGACACAGCAGGATTGGCAGCAATCGATGCTTATAACCTCGTATGCGGAATCAGCGCGATTTCCTTATCTTCTACGTCAGTATAGGCTAGTACCAAGTGATATTTACTGTATTTCCCGTTAAAAACTCTTAATTGCCTCCTTACATGTGCTTAACGATTTTTTTGCCTTATAAACGGGAAAGAGCTCTAGGGGAGGCACTCCCATGTATAATGGTTTAAGCGTTCCATAGAGTCTTTTTGCAGCGTCTGAGAGGTGGGATTGCAAACAGGCGTGAGATGGGATTGCAAACAGGCGTCGGTCTATAGACAAGCTCGCTACATACTCACCAGTTCTCACTTGAGCTGTAACATAGAAACGAGCTCCGATGCAGAATAAATTAATGCCTCGTACGAGATACCCAAATTTTGATCAGGACCACTTAAAATGATTTAAGAGGACCACGATTGAGGGGCGTGTACTAAGAACGATCGGTCCATTAATTGAGGCTGTACCGCTCCTCAGCTGATGGATGTTTTTCTGTGTTTAAATAATTTGGTTTTAATTTCATGTATTAAATTTTTGCTTCGCGATTTTACCGGCTGGGTTTGCCAAGTACGAAGGTACCTCCTCGCCGACAGGGTTCGATGTAACTATGATTAACTGTAGTACTAGATTCCAGCAAAAGAAAATTCAGCAAGCTACCTGGCTGTCTGCGAAGCCAAAAAAATAGCAAACCGGTTTTGATAATATAGTGATAGACGAACGGGATCGAACAAGAGCCCTTTTTTTGGCAACAAAAAATCTGCGAAAAGAAACACCAGAAAGGCTCGACGTCGAGAAGCTGAAATCACAATAGAGAGTTCGATTTGGACTTCCGCTTTCTGAAGGCGCTCATTAGTAACTCTGTAAAGGTTACGATTGGCTGCTGAGGTGGTACGATGAGGATTGCCGTCATGCAGTGGAAAGAAAAAAGACTGTCTACCTGACAATACGACGACCGCAACGCACGCTGTGTGGGTGATATACTGAAGGTTACAAAAGGAATGTGAAATTTGATAAGAGAAGTGAGACAAGGAAAGTAAAAAACCAAAATGTTTAAGTATAAATTGCGTGAGAAGCTGGACTTCTGGGGAAATGCTTGAAAATTCTATGAAAAATTCTATGGAAAAAACGGCGACCCATAGAAGATTTCGAGAAGCAAGCTGATGCCCAGCATAAACTGAATTTATCTAAGGAACACAGCTCCGGTCTGCTTAATAAAAGTGGAAATAAAACAACAGGAGAACGCGAAGCGCATACCGAAATCGATGACGATATACATAGCAGACGTTCCATTACCCGTCTAGTATAAAATTTATATTAGTAGCAATCTAGTTATCAACTGGTATCTTTCCCCACAGGGTGGTAGTACGTCTATCTTCCTGTTGACAGGTAAATATTATTATTGTTTATGTGAATATGTATAATTATGATTAACTGTAAATAAAATTGTTTAAAGATAAGAGAGAGAGTTCTCGTATGAGGTGAGCCCGGGAGCTATCCAACGTTCACTTCTGGATGCCATATGAATAAACAATTATAGGTAGACAAATTTTGGGCTCACGGTTATCAGGTGGACTGTCCATTCGGCGATAAGCGTGCGTATATTATACTCAATAGCAGCAGGAAACATCGCAATAAGATATTAAACGTTGGAACGATAAGATCAGCGAAATTCAGCAACTGTACGGAGATTCATACAGACGAGAAATAGATCAGAGAAAAATAAAAAAAATTGTTCTTCATAGAGTTTTTAGTGTGATATTGAATTGAAAAATTTATATATATGTTTGCACGTAAAAAATAGGATAATAAAAAAATCCTTGAAGTGTTGTGAAAACTATCCGGAAAAAATATAAAATACAAAAAACCGTGATTATACATATCTACAAAACTCCAAAGATGTCTCAGGAAATAGATTCGAAATTGCAACTCATACTACTTCACATCATACTACTCTCCTTTAGCGGCGCATATGGCGCATCTCAGCCACAATATCAGGTTTCACTCTATGTATCGTTACATCCTCGTGCGCCGCCCATACACTATTGCAACGGTGTAATCGTACAGAGTTCACTGATATTAACCACCGCCAGTTGTACCTTTTATCAGCCTGCCGTGGTTGACGAAAGTGGTGCACCAGTGCATATACCAGCGACTAAGATCAGTGTTGTGCCAGGTGTTGATGGCACTTACAGTGTGCTGAACACATTCAATGTGCTGGAGATTAATATCGCACCGGGTTTTAACTACACCACATTGGAGAATAATTTAGCGCTGCTTCGTTTGGATACGACACTGCCACTGGGGCAGCGTGTTGATGTGCAATGGATTATAATGGATGATTATGTAAGCGAAGAGGAAGCATTGTACATGGCTGGATTTCCGGTGAGTATGCCGTTATAATTAGAAAAACATCACCCTTGGCAACTCAGTTGTTCATTAAGAGCGTGAGGATTTTTTCTTGGGGGTCCAAAACTTTTTTTTTTTAATTACGTAAGAATCAATTAACCGAGTTACCGGTTAGGGGGGGCTGAAGTTTTGGCCAGTCCACCGCACAAAATTGTGTTCGCCCATCCTCAAGAGATGTCAACTCCTCCGTTTGTATATTTGGCGGAGCAAAAAGCTCCTCATAAAAATACATTGGAAGAAATATCAAGAGGCAAACCACAAATTGGTGAAGGACCTATACTGAAGGGTAAAAATAATACAATTCGGTCTTTCAAAGATTAATAGCGTGGCTGAAGTTGATCAGTCTCGTGTTCAGTGTGTACTATCGCTGCTTTTTGATTACCAGGCTGTTGGATTTTCATTTATTCTGCAGGCGCGCCACTCGGTCAGTCGGGCGGGAGACCAAAGAAACCTTCATGTGTTAGTAGATGCCTTGACGGATCATCTGCCTCTGGGATATCATCTCGATACCAGCTATATATAGATAGAACTCGCTTACTGTACGGCATGCGTAAAAGAGAACGAACAGATAACACATAGAAGCAGACAAGTCAAAAGTTCAAACCTTCTCTTTTATCCAACCAACCGGTCAACTCTTTTTTCAAATATGGAAGCAGAAAGCAATTTCTTGGTTTGCTTTCCTTTCTTCTTTAGTATACGCCTTTAGTTGCTCCACGGCATGAAATGTCAACCCCGCTGAGTGTATTTCGTACATGAAATAGAGGCTACTTATAAAAAAAAAACCGTCAGCCATTCGGAGGCGGCTTAGCATAAACTGTCGGTCTTTCCATTTGTTGGAAAAACATCAAGACACAAAACACAAATTGGAGGTGGAGCTCGGTCGATTATATATGTACCCCTTTCACGGCAATAATAATATTTATGTTCGGCGAGCGAGGGACGTAAGAACTAGTACCTGCTCAACGAGTTATATGACCAGATTGGCATAGTTCAGCGAAGCGTTGCCGCTGGCCCTGCGATGCAGTGCCAACTGCTGGATGCAGAAGAAGAGGTAGATATCCACTGAACTCTCGTTACGTATTGAACTGCAATGTTAAGGCTCTCCCCAATCCTGACTGAGCTTTTCGAGTTGCTTAGCGTCAGTTTACACAGCCGTGTCTTCTACACAAATAGCACCTCATATGCGATATTAAAGAGGCTTTATCCCACGATAATTGGTGCTGCCTGTGTTTTTGCCCTTTACATCTAGATTGGGCAGAGCACATTTAGGTTCCAATGCAATTTGTCAGCGCTGCATCTTCATGTTTAAATAGCTCAGCCGGTAAGCCAACTGCTCCAGCCGCTTTGTTGCTCTTTAAAAAGCCAAACGCTACTCGAACCTCTTTATAGTTGAGTCTATTCCATCATCATTGATTCAGGTTTCGGAGTCGCCTTCTTCGGGTGTTGGAAAAACAGAAGCTGGGCTGCAAATTACATCCGCAGCTTTGAAGTACCAATTATTTATCAAACCTTGCGGGCTCGGGTTTTAAAAATCTATGTTTTTGCTGTTACCACAACTACAACAAAGCGATCATTCGATCAGAATGTTAATGAAAATTATTACCTTTTAACCAACTGAAAACTTCGAGGCATTCCGATAGGTGAGATCCATTGAGACGTAAGCGGAAAAGATGTTGTTTCTAATTGTGGGCATGTTTGTAGAGATTAACGGGAACGCAGACATGTGCACAGCATACATATAATATTTGCCAAACAAATATCAATAATTGCACAGCTTACAAGACTGCGACGACCTCTACAAATAGCACTGAAACGTGCCACCCTATGCAAATGTCCGTGCTTGATATCTTTCTGATGAATTTGTGATGTGTAAATGATGCAAATAACGGAAAATTACATGTCATATTCATAAAATCATACTTTTTATGCCCTTAAAGTGTCTCGTTAATAAAACCTACAATGTTTAAGTAGTCCACTCACTATACACCTACCTATAAAATTTACATTGTTTTCCCGCTTTTTAGTCATTAAATACGGATCCAAGCTCCATGTTGCTAGAGAGTGTACAAATATTACCCAACGAGCAATGCGCAATGCAGCCAACGGAGGCGGCGCTTGGATCTAGAAATGAAAGCATTTGCGCCAAATATCCATACACATATCCTTACGCAATCGGACCGGATTGTGAGGTAAGAACAGCGATGAATTAATCCATATAGTAAGCTAACATTTTTTTACTTTCTTTAATGCTAGTACCCCACGGACTTTCCCACATTTAATTTCGATTACGGCACTGGTCTCATCGCACGCAGCCATTTGTTTGCCTTATTCTCGCACGCAATCCTTGCGCCCACTACGACGTCCAACCCAAATGCAAACAACTGCCACGAGCCACTGGCGTTTAATGCAATTTTCATAACGGTAGGCCCGCATTTGGATTGGATTTATGGTATTATCGCAAGCGAGGAAATGTTAGCATTGCATCAAGAAGACTTTATGTACTCAGCGCCTTATCAGCAAGATGTTAGTAGCGCTATGAAGTTCTACTCATCGCATGCGTCAGGTAAATAAATGTGATTTGTGATATATTCGAATGTGTGTATGTATTGTATGTTACTTTTGTTCAATTATTTGTCATAAACAGCTACTGTGACGTCATTAATAGAAGCAACAACAACAACAACAACGACGCTCACGGTGGTGACAACCACGAACGCAGCCACAACTAATCCGGGAAGCACGGAGGCGAGTTTATTGTCACAGCAAATGTCTCGCGTGACTAACGGTGCACACAAGACCTTGGATGTTAAGTTCGCGCTATTATTTTATGGTTTAGTCTTCACATTTTCGGCTTATTTCCTAATCTAAGCACACACAACTGTACATATCTACCAAGATTTAGATAGAAGACACAATAATTTCGCATGCAATTGTACCCTCTTCCCTATTTCGACATGAGTTTCACAAAAGAAATCAAGTTAACCCATCTGCACGTTATGATGCACACTTGGGACAAACTTATTGGCCTTGGCAGTTCGTTCTCATTGAAGTTTCCTGATTATATTTGAAAGCTGTCTATTTAATACTTCAGTAAAAGCAAGTAAGGAACCCAAATCTCGGATTTTATGCCGCCAAGAGCAATTAGGTTCAGTTAATTTTAGTTTAGTAGTGCACCAACGGAGCAACAGCTTGCAGCGAGGATGCTTCAAGTCCTTCATATCATGGTTTATTTTCCTTGCGTGTGTTATAGATGACTGCAGCATTGTTGTTGTTGTAGCCGCAAAAGTATTCCCCAAAGTAGTTTTTGCTGAATTGGCAGTGATCTGAAGACTTGTGTGGCCTCAAACTGTCAGCGCTCAATTGTAACCTAAGCCTTTACGACTGCGCCATCAGCACCATTTCCTACAACTTCAGCATCACCACTATATCTGTATAAAACTCAACTAAACCCCCACATCCAGCTCCATCTCCTACTCCCAGAGTCCTACGTAAAAGATCCGTCACGTAACTCTCTCGCCGCCTGTATTACAAACGGACGTACAGACCAGCACTCCGTCCTTCCGGGCGGAGGTTATTCTGCAGTTTGGTCACCCTCTTCACTAGCTGCAGAAGGAGCACCGGCTCGAACTCCATAGAAAGAAAGTCTTTGGCGTAAAATTTCCGACAGTCAACAACCCAAAATTATTGGGAGTCACATTCTACAGCCTGCTCCGCATACGACTGCAGTTGCCACAAAATTACAGTACCGGCCGTAAACTGCTCCGATCTGTATGCCGGGCATTGGTGAGATGCAGTTGAAGAAGCTACAAGCGCGCCAAAACACCGCCCTCAGCAACATGACCGGAAGCCTGCTGATGTCGTCAGAGCAACACTTGTACAGCGAAGCATTTATGCTACGATTTAAGAAGGATAATGCTATACTGAACAAGCAATATCTGCTACAGGATGCTAGCGTATCAGGAAGGGAGTACTTGACTATAAGAACTACATTCAGCAAGACCCGCTGGACATTACGGCTAACTGACAAGCTTTAAACGCTCTTCACAGAGAGTCCGTTCACACCTTCTTGAACTCTCTTCCAGCAAACAGCGTTCAAACGGCGTCAAACCAATATCCATTTATGACGAAGAGTTCGAGCTGCTAGTCCCACGTAATACTGGCACAATTAAGTTCTGGATACTGGCGGAGTTAGACTAGCTGCTACAACAACAACAACAATATGAGTGACCTGACCCCAAATGCAATTTACAGCGCCACCGCATCTCTGCTCTGTACCCCTGCGGGTTAGGGGCTCAAGAATTTACCCGCGGTAAGGCATGCCTGTCGTAAGAGGCGACTAAAATCCAATATTTACCGCGACAGTCGGGTTTTTATACCGGAACGACGCGGATTTTTATCCGGCCAAGGACTGTCACTCCCGCAATATTCCCCAAAAAGTACTTTGGAGAATAATTTTGCGGTTACAACAACAACAACAACCACCTCTCTGCAAACCTACTCATCTAACACACGTTCTATCTCTGGTCCGAAGCTGTCGAAACTGCTCACTTCCTGGGTACTCCGTTACATGTGAAGTTAGAGCAGCGCTACAATAACAAAACCAACATATTTAACCTATGCCCTATACACTATGAGTACCAGAACGGCATTATCAAGTCCATAACCGGGAGAAATCTCTTGCTTGCATATTTCCAAGTATCAAGTTTGATTTTTCAGTTTCTCTTGATACTGAATTATTAAAGCTCATGTTTTGAACTCTTGTGAAATCCTCATGTGCATTCATATATTATATATTTAGTGAAGTCTAGGTGTCTGTATGTATAATTTAGAAAAGTATATTACGACTTTGTTTGGGAATACAAACAACTGTTACTTTATACAGTGAAGTCAGTTACAATGTTTGAATACGAGTATGATAAGACTGATAAACGCTGTCGTGTAAATAACATAAATTATTTAATTATATTAAATACTAATAAAAATTAAATTAAATTAATATCATTTCATTAAATAGTTTATTTACTTTAAATTTCTTACATTGTGACAATGAAGTGTGTGTGTGTATGCATGTAAATAGTAGTTTTTATGGTTTGGATATATATTTACAGTTTCTATTTTTTTTATCTTACAACATTACTTATTAATTATTTGCCTATTCTATGATAACTATACAGAATGCTTATTGTTCATATAAAAGGAGGTAATATTTATGAAAATTAAAAAGAGAAAAAATAAAAAAAAATTATGCATGTTACGTTAATAAATAAATATAAATAATAAAAATAAATTCATGCATAACATTTGAGTAAAATTACATTTGAATTAAATATTTTAATGCCATTGTCACAATTTATATCGCTCGTCCGATTTAGGCAGCAATGCAAATTATTTACACCTTCTTATTGTGTTGTTGTTTGGCCGCAAGTAGGAAATTTGTTTTTATGTTATAAATATGTATGTATGTATCAAAAATGCAGTAAACATGCTTTTACTTCGTCGAAAATCATTTTACACAAAATCTTTTTAAGACACATATTTTTGAAAACAATAGGCGCGTATTTGAATAGATATATGCAACTCGCCTTAACGTTACCTAAAAATAAATCAAATTATATATTTTTTTTTAAATTAAAACTTAGCCATAAATTAATAATAATAGTAATATTAATAATAATGATAAATGCATTAGTATATTTTTACATTTTCATATTATTAAACAGTGGGTTTTTAGAACTTTACACCTTCGCATGAATAACATCAGCAAAGAAACATCGCATATAATTTAATTAAATTAAATTAAATTAAATTAAATTAAAATTTTATTACATTTCACTAATTACGAAAACATATTTTTTCTCTACTTCATTTTCGTTTTTCTGTTTTTAATTTTTACTTTTGGCTTCTGCCTATTAAAAACGCGCTGAATATACAATGCATATCTCATTTTTACTATATAAAATGTTACATAATAACTTTAGGCAGCTCTGCAGCAATCAATGCTATTTCAATGTACTTTTTATTCTATTTAAATGCGCATAATTTGGCAGCACATCAGCTATCCAATCGGGATTGATTTCAGTTACTTGTCGAAGAAAATTACGTTCGGTCAATACAATCTCTGTAAATATTACATATTCTGGTCTATATTTGCCGTGGAAGACACTAGACGGGTGTATTCTAGCACGCTGACGTCCAGCTATTGTAAGGTAAGTATTATCACGCTGCAATTCAGCAATGTTGTCGAAAAGTCCGATAAGTAAGCATTTACGCACTTGATCATGATTATTGCCACAACTGTTTAATGGTAAATCCAGACGTTCAACGATTTCTTCCAATTGTTTGCGTACTTCACGTGCATAAGTTAGATTTCTTGTGTTGAGGAAGTTATCATGGCACCACAGCTAAATAAAAAAAAAAAAAAAACAAAAATAAACATTTTTGCTTAAAACGAATTTAGTGATATATAACAAAAGTCTATTACCTTGACTTTTTCGGTCTTTAGAAAAGCACTGAACACATTGAGTAGTGTTAAGTGATCACCATATTTAGATGTGAATTTAGCATGCGCCAAGGTGGCAAGTTCACGCTTTTCATTACTAGAAATGAACACATTCTCTCCTGATAACACAGCTACTAGGCTGAGCATTTCTTCCATACAACCGAAGGCTGATGCTGAGAGTAACAGCTTGCTGTAACGTGGATCAAGTGGGAATTGTGTCATTTCTTGTCCTAGGGTTGTAAGTTCAGGCTTTGTTTTAGGATTTCTTACAGCGCCTAACGCCTCTAACTTTCGATACGCATCGTCTACAGCTTCGGGTGTGGGGCGATCTAGAAAATCAAATGTACGGCAATCGATGCCCAACGCTAATAGTTGCAATACAGTAGAACAAATATTACTGCGTAATATTTCTGGCTTTGGCATATTTTCAAATGATTCCATTTCGGCTTGTGTATATGTACGATAACATGTGCCTGGTGCGTCACGGCCTGCACGCCCGCAGCGTTGCCAAGCCTGAGCTTGTGAGACACGCACTATTCGTAAGGCATCCAAGCCAGTGTTAGGATTATATACACGCTGTTTTACAAATCCACAATCTATTATACATCTTATACCAGGTATTGTAACTGATGTTTCTGCAATATTCGTGGCTAATACAATTTTACGTGCATTGGAGGGTGCAGGCAAAAAGCACTCTAGCTGTTTGTTTTGTGGTAGCTGCGCGTAAAGTGGAAATACCCGTACTGGATGCAGTTCATTGTCATGTGTCTATAAATTAAAAAAAAAAAATATATAATAACGTACTTATACTTTTGAGTAATTGTTACGAACTCACCTTAGCAATTTGACGTATTTGCTGGGCCATGGCTTCGATTTCCTCTTGTCCCGTTAAGAATATAAGTACGTCATGGCTACATTAAATACATATACACATTTTATATTATAAAAAAAAATTAATCCAAATTATTCTCATTTATTTTTTAATTACTTGATCGGATCCGAGCGATGCAACTGGAATAGAGTCACCAGTGCTGAATGCAGATAATCTGGTTGTGTTTCTTTTACATGCATAACTTTTACTGGATAGGTTTTACCCTCGAGGTACATGCCACGTACATTGAAATACTTTCCAAAGTGATCTATATCCATCGTAGCTGATGTTACTATGACTTTGAGTGGTGTTAACCCTCGCGTTCGTCGCTGTTTTTGTGCTTCTTTAACAATACCGAAAAGGACATCTGTGTTTATGGTACGCTCGTGAGCTTCATCTAACATTATAACAGTGTATTGACGTAACAGACGATCAGCAATAGCTTCCCGCAGAAGACAACCATCAGTAAGGAATCTAATACGTGTTTGCGGTGACGTGCAATCTTCAAAACGCACTGTATAGCCCACGGTTTCACCCAAACGGCAACCTTGTTCTAACGCTACCCGTCTTGCAACTGTTATAGCAGCCACCCGACGAGGTTGTGTTATGCCAATCATACCCTTTTGAGCGAAACCGCTTTCGTACAGGAACTGTGGAATTTGTGTTGTTTTCCCTGAGCCTGTCTCACCCATTAACAACATAGTTTCATTGCGACGCGCTTCCTGTATAATCCTTTGGCGTACTTTATAAACAGGTAGTGCCTGTCGTTGTTGCTCCAGTTGCTGTTTTGATTGAACACCTTTGCCATTAAGGTGAGCTAAACTACCATTAGGTGTGAGTGTGCCGGTGTTTGTTTTGCCATTTGAGGTAGACGGTGAGCTGCCATTATTTAGTTTAGGCGTTTTAATTAAAACATTTTCAACGCCATTCACGGGACTTTGTAACTTTCGTTTAATTGGAAAACTTGATATGTTAACATTATTTTTCGTAATCCCGCCATGTGCAGATTTTACAGAATTTTTGCTTGTCAACAAATATTTGGACTCCATGGCAGACGACATTGGCCTTGGTAGCGAGCGTTAAGATGTATTTTAGTGCACTTTAAAACGCTCCCTGCAAATTGTCAGGAGAAAACTGTTAAAAATAACCACTTTGACGGCAGAAGCATAACGCGAAGAAATTTTCGCGAGTATTTGTCTCCGTTTTTTTGGTAAAAAATAAAAATAATATCTAAATTCACCCCCTCACGCTGGGCGCACGTTGATAAAGTTTGACAGTTCTGCCTGACATGTCTGACATTCCAAATTTCAAAGCCATGTGAGTTCTCCGTTATTCAGCATGAAACTAGTGCTGCCATATCAATTGAAATATTAAACTTTTTATCACAAAATTAACCCGAGTGAACCAATAGAAGAAAAGTGAGTTATAATTGAGTAGTTTAATATAATAAAATATAATAATAATTTTTTTTTCCGAGCATGGTTTGGTTTATATATAAACCTATTAACTTTTTCATACGCTATTGTTTAATGTTCAGTGAAAAATTAAATAATTAAAAAAGCAAAGAAAATTAAAACAGTAAAACCAGCGATTTGATTCTAAACGATTCTCAGGGCAGCCGGTTCTACGATCGGAGTTGACCCGGATTTTATCCGTCCAAAGGATGTCACCCTTTCGGCGACCTAAACCCGTTTAGGTCAATAGGGAATTAATTTAAGTTCGCCAACAGAGCAACACTTCGCAACCGAGTTGCTCCAAATCCTTTTTATCAGGGTTGGTTTCGACGCCAACATGAATTTAAGGTAACATTCCTGCAGCTCTTGCTCTGGCTGTTGTCATTTTTGGACAGAAGGAGTTTCCTTAACCTCGAATGCCGATTATCGTACGATAAGGGCATTTGGCCAGGATATTGATCTGTTCGAAAGTGAACTGCTACTTTGCCGATCTTTCTCAATTCTTCACTGCATGACAATTGAAAATACAGCCTACTAAATCCTCGGCTACACTCTTCACCAGCTGGACGAAGGAATACAGGCTTGAGCTAGATGTGAAGGTCTAAGACATAAAAATTCCGACAGTATACAACCCAAAGATATTGGGAGTGACACTGAACAGCCTGCACTCCTTCACTCCGCATACGACCGCAATTGCCGTAAGACTCCAAAGCCGCAACAAAATACTCAAAGCGCTATCCGTCAGCACCTGGGGTAAACACAAGGAAACTTTGCTGGCAGCTTACAAAGCAATTGGCCAGCCGGTCGTAAACTATGCTGTACCGATTTGGGCCTCAGGACTGCGACAGGAAACCTCCTGATGTCGCTGGAGCACGACTTGTACAGTGAAGCATTTATGCTAATAGTGAAGGTTCCACTTTCCAAACTTTGGTGTATGTTTCTTCGCACTCTGTACCAACATTTTTATGGTTTTAGGCTGACGGTGAGTGTCTGCCTAAGCGAGGTTTCACTGTACCTCTTCATCCGCCAAGGGAGTGCGTACAATCTTTTGAAAATGAAAATGAAAGCTTTTATTTCATGTCAGAAATATATTCCGAAAATTTGACATTCCCTGTCGTAGGGCGATCGAGTTTAGAAAATCTATCTTAATTTATTATTTAAATTAATTTTTTATATATTTTGCATGTTGGTCGGACCAGTATTGGAACCGTGGCCTTCCAAATGGCAGTTCACCATGCTAACCACTCGCCTATCGTGGCAATTACAATTATTACAAATACAAATACTATTCATTTAATATAATATCTAAAAAATATTGCAATATATTTCATCGATATATAAATTAATAATATTTTGGAAAAAATTACACATTCGTTGCACCCTGTGGAAGGGCTGTCAGATTTGTTCAGAAGTTTCTTTTGACTTTTCACTTGTTCGGTTATGGGGTAGGCAACATTGTCAACGCATAACGGTCGTTGAAAATTGAGTTGCAAGAATTTTTTGCGAAGAATTGTATTTTTTATCCTTATATGTTGAAGTCTTTTCATTGCTTAGTACATTTCAGAAAGAAAATTGCTAAAGAGGGCAGTTCCACGACAAGGCAGTTGTTGTTTATTTCTCAAATACAAAGCGTACCCAGGGGCATAATGACGCATTGAGATACAAATGTACATACGCAAACAACATACATATGTATGTATGTATGCAAATGAATTCCTTTACATTAAATAATAACAATCAGTTCTTACTGGTTAATCAGTCAGCGCATATGGGTCTTGGCTCCTGCATCATTGTTGACAGTCATAGCTTTGAAGTTCTTGACTATTTCGTCTATCTACGAACCAGTATAAATATCAATAACAATTCAAGCCGGTAAAACTAATATTGCGCTGCTCCTGCCAACAGGTGCTCTTTTCTTAAGTAATAAAGAAAGAAAAACCTCTCACGATGAACACAGAACAAATCCTACGAGTCGGTTCATCCTTCCCGTCGTGCTGTACGGTGCGGAAGAATGCGTCTCAAGAATCGGTGTAAGGGGCTTTCGAGAGAAAGTTTTTTGCGTAAGTCCTTTGTGCAAAAGCCTTTTGTGCCTGCTTAGTACCGCATATAAGGTCCTATCAAACGTATTGTGTGAAAGACTAAAGCCAACCGTCAACAAACTGATTGGACCTTATTAGTGTGGCTTTAGATCTGGTAAGTCAACCATTGACCGGATTTTCAATATGCGCCAAATCTTGGAAACGACCCGTGAAAAGAGGATCGACACACACCACTTCTTCGTCGATTTTAAAGTTGCCTTCGACAGCACGAATAGGAGCTGTCTCTATGCCGCTATGTCTGAATTTGGTATCCCCGCAAAACTTATACGGCTGTGTAAACTGACCTGGAGCAAGGACCTCTCCGAGCCGTTCGATACCAAACGAGGTTTCAGACAAAGCGACTCCTTATCGTGTGACTTCTTTAATTTGATGCTGGAGAAAATAATACGAGCTGCAGAGCTGAATAGAGAAGGTACAATCTTTTATAAGAGTGTACAGCTGTTGGCGTATGCCGAAGATATTGACATTTTTGGCCTCAACTACCGCGCCGTTAGTTCTGCTTTCTCCAGACTCGATAAAAAAGCGAAGCAAATGGGTCTGGTAGTGAATGAGGGCAAGACGAAATATATTCTGTCATCATACAAACAGTACAGTCCTCTCTCGGCGAACGAAAACCAAACTACACAAGTCTCTCATAGTTCCTTTGCGCGTTGGCAACAGTGAATATCGCAGACGGTGGAACGAGTACCGTAGGAGTTATACGCCGACATTGATTTAGTTCAGCGAATCAATGTGGTCTGGATGGATGTAAATACTCCAGCTTTGGCTGTACTTGGTTTTTCCAATTGGCACTAAACAGCAAAAAAGAAGAATCGAATGGCGCAATGTTGTTAACTCTGCTACAATCGCGTAAGCGGTGTCTACGACAGTAAAGTAAGTAAGACCAAACATTCAATTCTAATCCACCTCTTACGTTACCAGCTAGAAGTGAATGGAAAAATATAACGGGTCTGAATCAATGATCCGTAGCCGTATTCACCGACGCCTAAAAAATTGATTTCAAGGTGGGTTGTGGAGTTAACTCTGAACCTGGCCATTGATCGAAGAATAGAGAACTAAATTTTTACTCATTCTAAATATGGTCTCCAGGGACTTAGATGAGTGGGAATCGGTGGAACATTACGTCTGGCACTATCCAGACATCAGTGAGGCTCTTTGTCGTTTTCTCAGTAATTTCTATTTCGGTTGCCTCGCAGAACTTGAGTCAATAATCTCCTGAACTTCATAAAACACTCCAATTGGTTAGAACAGCTAGAAAGTAGAAAAAAATCTTCTCCGCAGGCCCACCATACATAGGTATCATGCATAAGTTCGCTCGATTACGAAACTCTGAAGTTCATTTAATCAGGGTTCCGTGATCGAGCAAGGCCATTAACTACCCATCGTCGATAGTGGATGCAAACAGGGTATCGGAGTCCTGAGATAGATATAACGCTGTAGATAGTAGAGCCTGAGGTTGTTGGGGAGTCTGAATTTTCTCTTCATATTCATTAAATCCATTTCTTGCCAGTTCCTTTCGCCGAAAAGAGAGGTGGATTTCTTGGGCCAAACAGTAATTATATTCAAGAAATTTAGAAGATGAAAGAGCTTAAACAGCCAATTTATTTTCGCCCATTATTTGGTGGTTGAAAGAATCACCCGAATCAGATGAGGAACCCGTAATGTCAAAAAGTAAACCAGCGTGGCACTATGACTAAAAGCCTTAATAAGAAGCTTCCATAACTCTTCTCTTATGGGCAAAACCAAACAAAATTTATAGCTAGCAAAATACATTATATCAATCCACTGGTTTTCCTAGAAGCCTCTGCATTTACGGAGAGCACACGTCTAATGTAACGCATAGTGCTTATAAACACGTGGGGTTGGCAGTTGGGGTCACGCCGTGTGCTTACTAAATAACTAAATGACCAATTTGCACCTCAAGTGGCTATCGAATACCGCACAGCTATTTACTCTCCCTCTAACAGCTACTCACAAAAAAAAAAGGCGATGTTCTTTGCTGGCTTTTGAGTCATTACGTCATTGCCGCAACACAAAACGGTCTTCACAAATGCGCAAACGACGCACCAATCAGTTAATTGAGAGTCGCGTACGCGTATAGACGTATCCGTATCGAGTAGTTAGTGATGGTGTACGTACGACGACAAAAGCAACGAAACGTTTTAAAGTTCTTCCGGTCGTTTTAAAGGGTCGTGATTTTTTGGCGCAACGTGTTGTTGTACAATAAATTTATTGCTAAAGTGGTAAATGAAAAATATTATGGAATAGAAAAAGAAAGCAGACAAAGGCATATTTTAAATTTGTTTACAATTGAAATCTTTTCAAATTCATTGATTAGATAAACGATCGCGCAGACCGACTGCTGTGTTGTATTGCGAAATTCCAATTGTTGGCGGTTGTGCTTGGTGTTGACTTAAAACAAGGGGTTTTTGAACGGCGGTGATCCTCAACGTATCAACTGTTGATATATACTCCTAGCATAATATATATTTGCGTTTTATGTGCATTACGACCGATTGTGTTTGATATACATACACGTATTTATGTGACATATGTATTTATCTGTATGTATGTATGTATATAAAAATTTCTTAAAATTGATAAATTCATTAACGTGGAAAAATGTGTAAAGTGTAAATCGTAATTTGAACGATAAAAGAATCAGTTTGACCATAACCATCAATATATATTACCAAGACCTCAACAAAGTTAACGTAATCTACAACCGTTTAATGTCTTTGGTCGCATTGTTATTGCTATTTGTCGCTAGCACTCTTGCTGAGGCTGTGAAAGAAGAGAATCAGCTGCACATATCGACAACGCGTCATTGGGTCAATGCGTCAATATGCTGTCCAATAGGTTGGTCTCTAGTCAAACTCAATATGGGCTTCTTTCGTTCGGACGTCTACGAATGCCGCAATGTGTTTCACAATGACGATAACAGTGAATATATTGGTAATATTGAAAATAAAACTGAAATTTTCGAACGAACTGCACCAGTTTATGGCTACCGCATACAGGCGCCCGCAGTGGATGACGGCGGTAACTACAGCGGCGAAGTGCCGCAATGTAAACGGCAGACATTCGTCTTTCTCACCGGCGACAAAGAGTTGGAATTACCAGCTAACACTTGTCTCACAAGTGTGGATCGACGTTTGGCGGCCATTTATTGTCCGCCAGCAAGGGGTGAAACTCTACAAACACTAAGTGTCGTGCACAAATGTTGTCCATTGCGTTACGTATACGACGCCGATAATCAAAAATGTGTACAACGTGCGGGTGTACAGACGTTTCAACGTTACGGCTACTTGTTGCAGCAATGGTCGATTTTCGTGGATGGTACGGTGCAATGTGCATCCGATATGGTGTTGGTGGAGTATAATCTCAGTGGCAAGGAAGTGAAATTCATCGATGGCAAAGTGGCTATTGCTGTGCGCAGTGAATGGAAGAAATTCAAACAATCCGAATACTGTATGGAGGCAATCGAAGGTGCCAACGCCTGGAATGATTTGGCTGAACAACGTTATTTAGTGCGTACTTGTGAACCGCGTCGCGTGTGTCAGGGTATTGCATGTATTCGTCGCTGCTGTTCTGATGGTGAATTCTTTACGAAGGCCAATAAAACTTCTTATTGCAAGCGCGATGAGGCGGATATTGGTTTCCATAGCTTCGAGAGTCTGCAAATAAGTGGAAACTTCACAAAACCTGCAGGTAAATTCACCCAACTGATCGCTATTAGTTAAAGTGTCTAAATATTGATTGAGCGGCGAAAGTAATGCCGTGTGACTCACAAACTAGCTATAACAGTGTGTGTGTGTATGTATACGTTTCATTCGTATGTAGGTATTTAAGATTGTCTGTATTTATTATTGATCATATGCTCGCAGGGTTCAAACTTTATATTTATCTATTTTAAACACTCAAACCAATCAAAGCAAAACATTCAATTATAGCTACTTATGGAATGCAAATACAACAATTCACCCATAATTACTTATGAAATGTTATTTAATAATTGTGTTTAATTATATTTTGAAAGAAAAAAGTATTAATTTAGCGCTTTTGTGTGGTGTTCAACATAACATTTTATAACGGAGTTATAGCTCTGTTCGGTGAGAAATGTTCCATCATACGGGATTCAGTAAAAATTAGCCAGCGAGTTGTATACAGTTGTATATTTTGACGTTTACATGTGAAGCCCTACATTTATACAGCGTATTTTTTTTTAATAAATTCAGCAATTATAAAGCACTTTAAATACACGGTGTGTCCCAAAAATAACCGAACTTTATATTATATTTTAATCATACAACATACAGCGCCATTTATTGAAATTTGCAACAATAAAAAGATACATTCATCCTCTTTCAAACGCACCTAACTTCATGTAAGGCGGATGACAGATGTAAAAGTGACAGCCATTTCAATAAAACCAAGCGTGCTAATGGTTCAAAAATAAAATGGAACAAAGAGCAAATATAAAATTTTGTATCAAACTTGAAGAAAAATTAATGGAAAAAAGTTTATTGTGATGATTGTATGAGTCGTACGCAAGTTTATACGTGGTTTACACGATTTAAAAATGGTCGTGAGGATTTAAATGACGACCCTAGAGCAGGACGTCCAGAAACTAGTAATCGTGCTGAACTGGTGGAAAAAGTGCGTGAAATCATTGGTATCGATGCAAATTTTGCTACGAGAATGTTGGCTGAGGAATTGAATGCGAGTAAAAACACTATTTGGAGAATTTTAACTGAAGATTTGGTGAAAAGAAAGGTCTATGCGCGATTTGTTCCACATGAATTAAATTACGACAAAAAAATCGGTCGAATTTTTAATGAATTTTTAATGAAAAATGGGATTTCTCTCATCGACCATCCTCCGTATTCGCCCGATCTATCACCATGTGACTAATTTTTATTTCCAAAACTGAAAACCAAAATGAAGGGAGCATTTTATGATGATATCCCAGCCATTCAAGCAGACGTAAGCCGTGGTACTGAAGAACATTTCTATAAATGACATAAAAAAATCTATGCATGCGCTGGTTGATCGTTCCAAACGTTGTGTTGAGTCAAATGGAACCTATTTTGAATAAATAATAACTTTCAAAGATAATATAATGTGTATTTTATTTTATATCCAAAAAGTTCGGTTATTTTTGGGACATACCGTGAATATTAATTTTATTTGAAATTTATTGTAATTCAACAGTGAGGAAATTCTACATGCTTTATAGCCGTCAAACGGTAAAGAAAGCAAAATGTGTGTTCTAATAGTCGTCTCAAAGGACAAAGATTTTCAAGAAGGAAAATATGCCTGGAGTTACTTTGCCGTGTACCTGAGCAATATGAACTCAACATTATTATGGAGCTTCTTAAATTCTGTTAAATAAAGAAAGAGCTTTATTTTCCCTTTAAACACGTTTAATATTCCATTTTGTGCATCATCGTCGCTTCCGATAGCTTAAGAATGCATTATCGTCACTGTGACCATAGCAATAATCTTGCTTCGCAATGTTTTGCGGCTCATTTGGCAGTTGACATTGCTTTCTTGTAAATTTTATGTAGAGATCCAAAATCAATTTGCGTTGTACAAAAATTATAATATATTAGGTGTAGTAAAAAGAAATCCATTATTTTTGTTCATTTTTTTTTTTTGTATTCAGCCTTATTCAAATGATTCCAAATGGTTTTTTGTGCAATCTTTAGCTCGTGGGCAATTGAGTTTATATTACGGTCGGACTCAACAATATCCATGATTTTCGCTCTTATCGAAGAAAAGCTGTAAAATATAGCGTATTTTCTCTTTGCTAATGTCCATCTTCGACGCAGGCTCAAACTAAACTGAATCAACCCATCAAAAAGCTGTCAGAAAAGCTTTTTTAGTACGAAATGTCAACTTTCTAACGCCATCTAGCGGTATCCGAGCGGACTTATACAGTGCGAGAAACAGATAAATAACTTCATCTATTGGAAAAAATAATGGATTTCTTTTTACTACCCCTATTCTAATTATATGCTTTCAACATTTCTAACTCAGTTTCTCAACGTAGGCTGTTATTTCACTCTGCTGACATCACATTTTCGTGTGATTTTACTGTTATGATATCATTCAGTTAAATGTAATCAATCGGACGATATCGTACATTTAATCCAGAGATGCTCAACAAACGCAACGATATCATTCCGTTTCGCTAACAAGAAAAATTAACGAAACGAAATGAAATCGTTAATGTGAAAACCGCAAAATCCACCGTTAACGTTAATTTTAAAATGGCTGCTTGATATGATTTACCAGCACACTTCAATGTCAACGATTTAACATTAACGACAGCATTTCGCTTCGGGTTGGAACGAAAAGAAATTTATTTTGATAACTGCTTGAACGTAAATATAATATTTCCAAATGCTTCTACCGAAACGAAGGAAAAATTTCAATTAAAGTGAGCCTTGTTTTAATTACTTATTTTGTTAATACATCAATCATAGTAAAGTATTGATATTATCTTCATTTTAATAAGGCTATGTGCCAATAGGTATCTTTTTTTCCTATGGTGAGATGAGGTGGGAACAATTTACTATGGTGTGAAGATATTGTATATAATATTACAATTTGCTGTACCAAATGGAATTATAAATTTTGACTTTAACAAAATAAAAACTAGTAAGGAAGTCACATACATATGCATATACATAAATTTTATGTGCATTGGTAAGAAAGGAATCAAATTCCAAGGAAATACTTTTCATTATTAACGACTATATTGTTTGGAAACAAAATCATTCAATCAATGATTTGCTGGTAATTAAGAGTTTTTTTTGCAATATTCGAGTCGCCATGTTTATACGAATATTTTATTTTTATAATGTTTTTAGGTGTTAGCTTACCTTCACCTGAGGGTTTTATTTTTAATAATCACAATAATAATAATACGAATAAGTGAGTAACTAAAATCAGGGCAAGAAAAAAAGCAAATTTAATTTTAAATGATGAAAATACAAACATTTGAGATCATAAATCAGTTAATGTTGGCTGAAATTTTCCCATCACGATTTTGCAGCTTTCTCTTCAAACTAAACGCAAAATTATGTTCTCTCATCAATAATTTCACTGGATTTTTGCCACGCCGAACGCGATTCAATAAGATTCAGTAATAATTGTTACTACCCATAAGGTCTACATAACATAGCAATTCTGCATTATTTTATTTTACTTTTACCGCTTTACAATTATACTTTTGTAGTAAATCAATTCTGGGAACTAAAAGCAATATTTAGGCAGATCGTTGAAACAACATCAACCGTCATCTCCAAAAAAACTACCTCTGTGTGTGTGTATGTTTTCTTAGTTTAATTATATTAATTGATTTTATGTTCTTTTCATCGTGGCAACAAATCATACTTTTTTTTTTGAAGCAGCGTTCTTATAGAATACTATCGCTAACCCGGTGTGTTTCATTACACCAAAACGAAAATAAAAAAATTTTAATTTTCTAGTTTTGCTCATATTATATTAACATTTCATAATTTTTTTTTTTACATCAAGCTTTTTAGTGTATCGATATGTATGTCTAAGATCTCTTTTAGACAATATCATTGCATAATAAACTGTTTGAACACTTTTAGAAAACTCTCTATCAGTACCTTCGAGCGATTTTTATGCTTCATTGTGTTTCACAATTCACAGGCCTATTCTCACTGTTACCAGTAAAGTAAATTATGACACTTTTATTTAACACATGAAATTGAATTTGGTATTCTGGCGCACTGCTTACAATTTAAAAAAAAAACTTGGCAGCACTGTTTTTTTCGTCCGTGTCAAATTACATTTGCCAGTTGATAAAGTAAAAAGAAAAATATTCACATCGAAATGGAAGACGGTGCACTTCATAGTGAATAAGTTTTATTTATGTGTTTATTAAATCATAAATATTTGAACCTAATTATGGAAAATATGCCTGGACAACAAAAAAAGCTGAATGAAAACGATATCTTACAAATTAAAAGGGCTATTTTTTGTCCCGAAAACTTCTTGGCATACGTCTTTTTGCACTTTTTTCTTCATCTTCAATGAATTCCAGGCCTAAAATATGTCTACCCATGTTGGTTTTTATTTTTTCTCAAACTTACAACACAAAATCAAACATCAGATATTTTTGTTACCTCCTATTTCGCTGGTAACAAAATTTACAGGGTAACAGGGAATACGAAATGGTAACAAAATTTACTGAATGGTAACTTTTAATACCTAGGTAAATTTTGTTACCTCGACAGTTAGTATCAATTTTTGGAATCTGCATTTTAGCAGCTTAAGATCCGAACTTTCAGTCTTTCCAATTGGTCGCAATGTAGAGTTTTTTCAATAGTGGCAAAAATAATCAAAAATATGTTTCGCTAAATAACTCTTCAGCTATTCCCATAAAAATTTTTCAAACAGGTTGCAAACCCTCTTCAAATTGGTCTCGAAATCTCTCTAATTTGATACCCATATTGTAGATACCGATAAAGTTAAAGAACAGTCATACGTATGTCTGTGTCTTCCGAGCTTAGCTTTAAATCATAGCTTCATTTTTTGTAAGATTAACAGTAAAATGGAGAGATTAGATCAGAGAGATTTTTATATCATGCTTGTGTAAGAATTACTTGCCTGCAATTTGTATTAAAACAATTTCAATACCAACCATTTTTATATCCAATTGAACTTGAGCA